GAAATAGCCTAGCGGTGGGGGCGCAGATGCAGGAGACACCGCTGAGACTGAGTCACACTCGCAGCTCAAGGCCAGCACTTCCGGAGACGGGGATTTTGGGCTTTCCTGGAAGGCAGCTCTATCCTGTGCTGGAAGGGGAAGTGGGAGGCAGTCCTGCCTCCTGGATCCCGGATTCCGATTCAGTAGGGCTGGGGGAACACCCCATTGGCAAGGCCAGCACGGGAAGTTGTGGGCTACGCCCTAGGGCAAAGCCACCGCTCCAGCTCCCCATGGAGTCCCTGGGGGGCTGGGAGACAGGAAAGGTCAAGGGTCAGAGACCGAGGGAAGGCTGGGTTTCCACTGCAGGGCTCCAGCCAGGGGCCTTCAGTCCCGCCAGCAGATCGGAGGGCCTGATGGGGCTTAGTGTAATCTGGGGCAGCAGAGGCCAAGGTTGCCAGCATACACAGGTGGGGCTGTGGCCTCCAGTGGGCCAAGTGATGTCTGGAATCACCTTTGATGCAGGCCTAGCCTGGTGCTGGTGACCTGAGGGAGTGGACAGCCCTGCGAGTTCCGGGATGAACTTCCTGTTGCATGGAGATGGCAGAATGTGTGGGGTCTGGGGCTCTTCAGTGACCAGCAAGGATCCAAGGACCCTAAAGCTGAGCTAGGTGCTGGGTGGGCACTGTCCCGGGGTCCTCAGGGCAGAGCCCACCTGACAGCTCTGAGCAGGGAAGATGCGTTATCTCCTGAGACAGTACTGCTTCTGCCCCAGAGCAGAGGCTGAGGAGAGAAGCCAGGTGGGGGTCTTCAGGCTGGTGGGGAAGGGGCTTCCTGAGTGGCTGGCTCAGCCACAAGCTATAGATTGGTAGAGCCCCCGGAACTCCTGGGCATGGGAGGAGCCAGGGATAGCTCAGTCAGAGAATAGAGCGGTAGGCCTGGTGCCTTGGGCAGTGGGAAACTTATGCATACCCAAGAAGGCCACAGGATGATGGCTGTGGACATGGCCTTCTGCCAGTTCCATTCTCTCCCACTGGAACCAGCCTGTCCCTCAGGACAGCTGAGGGGCTTGGAGGCCAGATGCCTGGACACATCTCCTCACAGCCAGACTACCACCCTGTCCCCAAGGGGGAATGGCCCTCAGAGCTGCTGCGTCCCAACGCCATCTGCAGAGAGATGGGGCCTCGGGCTGGGCCACAGAAGGTCCTGGAATGTGGGCAGGGCCCTGCATGAGACCTGCACAGCAGGACCAGGGAAAGGATGGAGAAAGAGGAAGCCAGAATGGGGGCCAGGGGTGGGAGGACTTGGATGGCAAGGGGCGCCCCCACCAAACCACAGTGGGGCTGGCCCGGGAGTGTCCTGGAGGCCCTACCACCTATGCAGCAGCTGGTCATCTGCAGGTCTGCAGGTGTGGGAACCTCTGGGGGCCAGGCTCCAGGACTCCAGGACTCCAGGCAGCGGGTGGAGACCCTGCAGGTGCACAGGAGAGCGCCAGGACTCCCCGCAGGGGGCTGAGGTGAGGGCCTGGGATTGAGGCCACAGGGGCCCATCTTTGGCAGCCTCACAGCAATGAGATGCTTTATTTGCATTTCTGAAGCAGGGCCTGGCTCAGTGGGCAAGGGAATGCTTGTGGTGGCCCAGACTGGATGCCTGCAGAGCCACCTCGGGGACCCACTGTTTTAGGGGCCTTGGGCCATGCTGAGCACCACAGGGCATGGGGCACCCCCGAGGTTGATACCATGTGCCTTGCTGCCTGAGTAGCTGCTGCTTGGGGCCTTCCTCAACCCTCACAGAGGGTTGGTCACCTATTTATAGGTGACAAATTAGTACTGTAACACAGCCACGAAATTTCGAGAGTAGTGGGCGAATAGCTGAGCTGTCTGCGGATGAGGGTCTCTGGCAGGTTCTTGGGGACCCTGGCCCCTCCTCCTCTGGCAGTCACCCCGGAGGCATGTACTTCTGTGCTGCAAGAGGAGACTCCAAAGATGCAGTGTCTTCTAAACATGTGGCTCCCTCAGCCCCGGGCAGCGCATCCTTCCTCTCCTGTCTACCTGGCACTGGGGAAGAGTGGGTGTCTCTCATGCATGGCCTGGGAAGAGTCCCAGGGCTCCCCAGGGGCTCCGGGTCCCCATGTCCCATCCTGGAGCCCTCCATGGCCCATGAGCAGAGTGAAAACAAATTCAAAAAACTGATTTCTGACACCTGCCTGTGGCCGATCTGTGTCAAACATACTTCAAGTACTTTACACACGCACATTTGCTGAGTCCCCAGCAGCAGAGGGCTGGATCTTTCTCCCAGTGTCCACTTGATGGATGGGGAGACTGAGGCACCACCCTGGGATCCCTCCCTCGAGTGTCTGTCCAGCATTGTCCTCCAGGCTGGGAGCCCTGCTGCTTCTTCACCTAGGGCAGGATGTGACCCTCCCAGCACAGGAATCCACTGATATGGTGCTGTGGGGCACTGGGGCACTGCAGCTTTGCACTGCCCTCTTGAGTCAGCTGCCCCGGGCACCCCTGTGGGTGTCAGGAATCCACCACGAGTGGCTGATCTCGTGGGTCCTGGTCCTTGGGAGTGGCAGGGCACATCCTAGAGGTGACGGCGGGCATGGGAGCAGGAATGGCGGTAACCCTGTCTCCAGAGGCCCCTTCAACCTCCTGTGTCCCCCACAGAAACAGCAGCCCTGTCCACCTCACAAGCTCACACTCCAGGAGCTCTGCAAACACAGCACACAGCAAGCAGCAGAGGCACTCAGGATGGACCAGGCACAAGCTGCCCTGGTGACTGCAGTGCCTCCCACTTCACCGATTGAGTCCAGATCTCGGGCACCCATGAACCCAAGACCTCCTGGTGGCAGTCTTCAGGGCTCAGCTGAGTAGCTCCCCAGGAGGGAGGGAGAGGGCCTGTCGAACCCTGACACATCAGCGCTCAGAGACCCAGCATTGCATCCTCTCCAAGGGTCCCTGCACCTCAGGGGGAAGCCAGGGAATGGGGAAAACCTAGCAGTGGGGGTTCAGTGAACAGTGGGCCTGCAGGAGAGGTGCTGCCCACCACAGCCCGAGGGAGGACAGTGTACCTATCAGAGAAGCAGCAGTGGGCTCAAGGAGACCCAGGGGTCACCCCAAAAGTCACAGAGACCATACTGGGGTGGTTTACAGGCTGCAAGAACGGCCCCTTGGAGGGCAGATGGTGCTGGCTCCACCTGTGTGGGGCAAGTGTTTCAGCAGTAAGGATGGACCTGCTCCTCACTCGAAGGCTGAGTTCAGAAGTGTCCTGCAGCAAATTCCAGAACAGCTTGTGGGGGACAGGCTGGGTCACAGCACACCTACACGTGCTCTGGAGTCAACAGGATGCACGCATTTCCAAGGAACAGGCAGGCCCTAGGTGGCTGTCCTCAAGGGTCAGGGCTGTGAGCAGTCAATGTGCAGCCCTCAGGTGGGCTCTGGGTGCTCAGGAGGGGACCCTGGGTAGCAGTGTCCTTTGTGAGCTGGGGGATTCGTCCTGTGCAGATAGCAGCTCTTATTTGTTGAAAGCGAATCTCCTCCACAGATTCTAATGGAGTACCCACAGCCTGGCCAGCCAGGCAGAGCTGCACCTCCTAAGGCCTGAACCCCCCAGCTCCAGATGCTGACCTCACAGAGCTAGAAGCTGGAGGTGGCAGCTCTGCAGAGCTCAGGCTAGAGTCTCTGGGAGCTCATTTCCCTGGAAACCAGTGACTGCCATGCCCAACCCCCAACCCAGAGACTAGTCTCCAGGAGGCCAGTTTACAGCCATTCTGGGGCCCAGGGCACCCCCAGAGGCAGGCTGTGGTACTGCACCTGTGCAGGTGACCTGGAGGAGCAGTTGAGGGTACAGGGTGGCCTGGGCTCGAGCAGTTGGTGGGAAGAGGCTGAGCTGCCCTCCTGAGGGCGGCCACAGTTGGGGACAAAGGGACAGCTGGTCCCCCTGACCCATGAAGCCCACCAGGCAACCATCCCAATAGGCAGCTGTACCACATGGCTCTGAAGGGGGACCAGCAGCAGTAGGGAGGCAACATATGCAGGAGCTTCAGGAGGGGTGAGTGAGGTGCCAACCGCTCTTTGGTGCAGGGCCCCTAGCAGAGAACTCTGGCACCCTGTGGAAGGAGCTGGGGCTACAGAGTACAGGCGGGAGGGGCTGCCTGGGGAGGGTGTGACAGACACCAGCCTGTGTGTCAGGCCCAGGCAGGGAGCACGGGTATAGGGGCGGAAGAGGCTGCCCAGCCTTCACCTGGCTTCTGCTAAATGGTCCAGTGATGTGGTTGGTTAAGACTGGTGGTCTACACAGCAATTTCCACACCACCAGGTACGGTGGTTTCTTTTTTAGGGGGTGGGGTTGAACCCTGGGTCCTGGCACTGAGCTCTACTTCCAGCCACTTTTTGAGACAGGATCAAAGTCATTAGGTGCTCAAGATTGACTCACACTTGCAACCCTCCTGCCTCAGCCTCACCGAATGCTGGGATTAAAACAGGCATCACCACCACAGCTGGGTTTTCTTTTCTTACAGCACTAGGGGTCCAGGCTGTGGCTGAGCACAGGTACGCAGGACCCTGAGGAGGAAGCAGAGGGGCAGGGCCTGAGGGCAGTGCTCAGGACCCAGCACCCCACCTGCACCAACCACCCAAGCGCTGCTTGTCTTTAGGTCACTTGGGGGCCATGGACCACATCCCCCAGGACCAGGTGACTGTGCTTCTGCTCATCCCCAGCCCCACCGTCTGGCTGAGTGCTGACTCCTGGGGTGACTGTACCCACAAACCCTGAGTGTGCACCAGCTTCGGGACTCACCAGCCAGGGGCCCCACCCTCAGGGTGCTGTTCTGAACGCTGAGTGCCTGCCCTGGATCTGTCCCTCAGGCCACCTCTAGAGTCTCCCTTGGCCCACAGTGCCTGGGCTATGGAGGCCATGGAGGACATTGTGAGCTCCAGAGCTGGGACTCCTGCCAGCAAGCTCAGGAGGACTAGAGATGCCATCAGTGCCTAGGAGCTGTGCGGCTTCACTTGCACAATGGATGCAATGCGGAGGGCCCTCGGGGAGCCTACAGTGTTTTATTCCACGTTAACCTCCTGCATCAGAGCTCCAGATCTCCAGGCTTGGATTCCAGACTCAGGACAACAGTGCAAATGGCAGCCCTGCAGCCACCCTCTGTCCAGGAACCTAGGTGCTCAGGACCTGGCCACACCCAGGGTCCTGCCTCAGATCCCATGGGGACCACCTGGCCCCTGCCTGTCCTTGCCTAGTCACATCACTACCCGCTCTCTGGCGGCTGTCTCTTCTTCCTCTCTGGTCCCTGGGCGCCAGCTGCCTCTGCTCGGGCACCAGGTGCCTGCCCAGGCCGCCGCCGCCACCGCCTTCCGCAGGGTCCTCTCCTGCCCTTGGCTGCCCTGTGCAGCCCAGAGCCAGGCCTCTTGGGTCTCCTGCTCTTCTTCCTCTCGCCTCCCGGGCTCAGGTCTGGACTGTGTGCCGTCTTCTCCTCATTGTCCCCTGCCAAGACAGCACAGTGACAGGGACAAGCTGCCCAGCTGCCAACTATACTGATGACATCACATGTGAGTGACTCAGCCATGATGGCCACTGGCGACTGTCCACAAGACAGCAAACTCCATGGCCATCTATGCTATGGGTAGTGGGGCTTCCAGAAAGGCCATTGAGGGCAGGACGGCCAGTGCAGGCACAGGGAGTTGGGGCACCGGAGCTGGACACAGGCCAGGGTGGGAGGTTACAGATGACCTGACCAGGCGACAAGGCCCAGCACCCATCACCCTTGGGTCCTGGGGACCCTGTGTGGTCACAGCCCCCAGCAGGTCCCCTTTTCTAAGGGCTGCTGTGGAGACAGCCAAGGCTGGGCTGCCCCTTCCTGTTCCCTCCCATCTGCTCTCAGCCCCTGCTTCACCCTCCCTTGGCCCCTGTGTCCACAGAAGCACGTGGCACCCGACCTACCTCTCAGATTCCGTGCTTGCCGCTGCAGCCAGCGTCGCTTCCCCTTCCGCACCCGCCTCCCCTCCAGCAGATGCCTGTAGGCCTTCTCGGGAACTTCATCCTCAGGGAAGTGACCTGGGAATCGGTGATGGTCAGGAGCACAGCGTGGAGGAAAGGCCTGCCCAGCCCAGACACCACCACGAGCCATGATCCCCATGACTGCTGACAGATGTGCCACGCGCTTCATGGTCCACACTGACGTGCTGGGAGGGGCCTGTCATCTGGACGGGGAGCAGGGGACAGGCACATGACAAAACAGGCAGGGCACACGTTCCCCAAGAAGGAACCATAGGTACAAGCCCGTCTGCTAGGTCGTGCCATCCCACACCACACAAGGCTGTGCAGACACTGGGTGGGGTGCGTGGGGGCTCTGCTGGGGCCCTCTTGGGCAGGATGCACACGAGGCCCACAAGTCCCACTTCTCCAGAACCGCAAGGCCACACCCCACATGAGACACCAAGGCTCCCAAGTCCAGGCCACCAGGCGCTGCCCCAGCCTCACCTCTAGCCAGGTCCTGCAATCTGCAAAAGTGAGATAGACACATCAACACCACCCGGCTCTCCACCCACACGTGCCCTCTGGGACCCACAATGACCCCCACTGCCGTGGGTCCTGAAGCCCTCCCTCCCAGCCACGGCCATTGGGACACTCACTTGCGGATGACCTTGTAGAGGCACTTCCTGTTCTGAGAGGGGGTGCTCTGCTGACTGGCCACCTCGAACAGTCTGTCTGCAATGGCCTTGTAGTCAAACTGCCATGGGGGTGGGGGGGGTGCCAGGGAGTGGGGTCAGCACAGGGACTCGGCCACCCAGCTGCCAGGCCGACCCCAGAATCACAAGGGCATCAGGGTAGCCTCCTGGCAGCCTCAGTTTTTCCCGTGCAACAACCCCACAAGCTTGTTCAACCCCAGGCCCCAGGCTACACTAATCTGACGAGCAGTCGACACTAAACCTCAGACCTTCTGGTTTCCAACCTTGCTGCCCTATGTTCCCCGAGACCTCTGCAGAGCGGTTGCCCAGCTGGAACCCAGGGCCAGTGTCAAGGGTCCAGGGAGGCAGCAGCACGGGGTGGTGGGGCCTCAGCCACAGTACCTAGCTTGGTCCAGGCCTCCTGCAGGTGAAGGCCAGGTGCTTCCCACAAAGCCAAGCCCCGAGCCTCGACTGCCACTATGACACTTCCTTCCCCTCTTCCAAACTGGCGCTCAGTGGGAGGGTGAATCCCAGCCACCTACCTGGAGGACGGGGCCGGTGCTGTCCTCGTCCTCTCCCGCCTGCCCTGAGGAGCCTAGGGAAAAAGAGACCCCATGAGCCCCTTCTTTCTGGTGTATGCACCCAGTGGCCTCCTGAGCAGAGGGGATGACAGTATGGATAGAAGGGGACACTGGCCCAGGGAAGGTGACACCTGGAGTGAATGGTAGGCACTTCAGGCAGCAAAGGAAATACTGGGGCTCTGCAGGGAGAAGGATGGGGGACCAGAGGCAGGTGGCCTGGATACAGGGGGCTGGAGCTGGGCTGGGCTGAGGGGTTGGCAGCACAGGGCAGGAGCTCGCTGCTCCAGAGGTGCAGCAGAACTAGAAAACCTGCTGGAGACTCCTGGGTGACTCAGGCTGCTGACATCAAGAGAGGGGACATGCAGGATGGCAGAGAAAGCACCAAGGGCAGAAGAGCCTGTGTGGCCACAGAGGGGTCTGGTGCCCTCAGAACAGGCCGCAACACATGGAAACCCTGCAGCTGGATGGTGAGTCACACCAGGGCTGGGCCCAGGCCGGGCTGGACTCGGCACTACAGTGCTATCCCTGCTCCCTGAGAGTGGTGCACTGTGTCCCCACCCACCTGGGAGGGAGAGGCACCGTCTAGCAGAGCCCTGCAGCCCTTACAGCAAATCTGGCCAGGGATGAGGAATGCACAGGGCAGAGAGACAGTGGTGAGCCCAGCAGCAGACAGGGGCTGGGCAGGAGCCACCCTGGAGCTGGGCTGGGCGTGGACAGTGGGACAGTGCTGCGTGTGCTGGCTGACCCGGGACAGGAAGTCAGGAAACACAGTCCCCTAGCTGCTGAGTTATAGCGGGTGCCGGGGAGGCAGAGACCAGGGTTTGGCCACAGGGCAGCAGACTGGCCTAGCAGGAAGCTGGCCTCACACCTGCCAGCAGCTTCTGGGGTAGCTGGTGGTGCTCCTGGCCCTCCTCCGCCGACTCCTCTTCACCATCACCATCTGACTCATCACCGTCTGATGCCTCCCCTTCTCCTTCCTGCGCATCCAGCTCCTTCAGGAGGTCTTCGATGGCGAAGGGGGCCTGCTCCACGATCGCCTCGAAGATGCCTCGAGTGATGTTGTGCAGGACCAGGGAGCTGAGGTGGGAGCAGAGCTGGACACTCAGGCAGGCAGTGCTGCACACCCCGATGACCTTCCAGCCCAGGCCAGGCCGCAGGGCTGGCCCCACCGTCTCACTTACTCCTTGGTGTGGGCGGCGATCCCACAGAAGGGCTCCACGAACCGCAGGTTCTGGTCAGCCGTGAGCTGGGGAGCAAGGGCAGCGGCTCAGTTTCAGGCCAGGCTAGACTGAGCCACCCTCCAAAGCTCACCTCACCTCTGTGGCGCCCACTTTGGTCAGCTCCTCCAGGAAGACCTCAAGGAAATGGCTCTTCACACCATTGGGAGCCTGGCTGTCCTCGTGCAGGATCTCGGTTGTCAGCAACTCCAGTAGCTGCTCGATGTCCCTGCGGGGATGAGGGTGAGGATGCAGCGGCCACACCACACACTCTGGCCTGTTGGGAGCTAGGCAGGAAGTATGCCAGGTGCCCCATCAGCTCGGCGGCCCTGGGCAGCAGGGAGGCGGCCGATCACGGGTGTAAGTGGCTGCATCCAACATGGGAACAGGGGTGGGGCCTGTGCCCCAGCTACAGAAGGGCCACGTGCCGTCACCCACACAGGCCTTCCTTCCATCGTGCAGGAGAAAGGCTTGGTGGGGCCCTGCACCACCTTGGGCCTTCTGCCACAGGGTGCCACCACCAAGTCATGGCCAGGGCTGGGTGAAGCAGCACAGGAAGGCACGAGGATCCCCACGCAGGGAGCACTGAGGCAGTGCACATGCCATCAGGTTTCTTCCAGGGCAGTGAGGGTTTCAGAGGCCCTAGACCAGGGACCGATAACCGCTCGAGTGAGCAGTTGCAGTAGTCTGGGTGTCCCAAGAATGCAGGGTGGAGTGGGAGTCCAGACCCCCTCGCCTGCAACTACAAAACACATTCTTTAAGAAGCCCCTGTCAGCCTGGGCTACCCAGCAAGATCCTGTGTCAAAAAGCCAAAAACACAAAAATGAAGGGACCCCTGGGACACTGACAGAACCCCAGGTAAGAGGAAGAGCATGGGGCCTCCGCATGCTCGGGAAGGAGGCAGATGGGGTGTTATGTGCAGAACACAGAAACACAGAGGCAGTGCCTGCTGCTGCCAGGCCTGGAGATCAGACGGGAAAGACCAGCTTGGTGAGGCAGGGTGGGGCACAGAGGGGCACAGGCTGCCCCTGAAAGGGAGATCACAAAGTAGCTTGTGCGTAACAAAGGAGGCACAGTGACGACAGCTAAGCCCCAACATGACCATGGGCTGACCAAGGAAGAGACCCTGCCTGCGTGCTCCTCCTCAGAGAGGGAACTGGGGTCTGGGTCACAGTCCAATCCCCCACACCCTGCAGATCAGCAGGGCCGCAGCGCTCCGGGCCGTAAGCCCAGGGCAAACACTCTCCTTACACCAGCTGCAGTCAATGCCTCCCGCTCAGCTTGGAGCGCCTGTTTCTTACCCGTTCCAAGTCCAGCTGGCCCGACAGAAACGAAAGAACCTACCGATACCCGGAGCAGCCCCTGCTCAGATGCCGTCAGGAAGGGGGGACTGCGCAGCCCCACATGCCTGCCTCCATGGACACAGGACGCCAGCAGCCTCCCTGCAGCTCAGCCCACCTCCCAGACGCCCTCTGTGAGAAGCAGGGCGTGCGACATCGCTCAGGTGAGACCCAGACTGTGACCCTCTTGCCTGGCATTAAAATTGCTTTTCGGGACTGCGGTTGTAGCTCAATGGCAAAGCATGGGAGAGCCCCTGAGTTTAAACCCCAGCACCAAAAAGAGGAGAAAAAAAAATGACTTCTTAGTATTTCACAAAAGTTCTAACATGGATACCCCGGGAGGTCACTCTTCCCAGGCTCTGTCCACGTGGCATAGGGGAGCATAGGGCTCTGCCCCACAATGTTGGAGAAGAGGCTGGGCCTTGTATCTGTGCCTGTATATTCCAACAACTTCTCAGAGTCCTTTGGGCAGTGACTGAGGAGATAAACCATGCAGGAAACAATGTTAAAAAAAAACAATTCAGAAAAGTTTTCTGAGTTCTTTGTACAAGCCCATATCATTCATCAAAACTTATGTGAAAAATTATTTACTATTTTAAAATATAAAGAGCCAGGTGTAGTGGCACACATCTGCAATCCCAGCACTGGAGAGGCTGAGGCAGGAGGATCACTTTAAATTCTAGGCCAGCCTGGGCTACATAGCAAATTCAAGGTCAGCCTGAACTGCATAGTGAGACCCTGCCTTAAAACTAAAACAGAAAAACCCCCAAATTTCAGGAAGTTAAATACTGAGAAATCCTCTCTGGACAGAGGAGCTGGCTATCACTAACCTGAAGACCCGCTACCCCTGGCAGCGCCTCTGCCAACCAAGGGGCTCCTAACCTCAAAATCGCCTCCCCCCAGCATGGCCAGCACCATCCATGATGGGTCACCACTGCCTGCAAAGTCCACGAGATGGTTCTCGAGCTGGGGCCACAGCCACCCTCCTGAGCACCACCAATGGCACGATGTGTGGATGACCTGAAGTCCCCAGAGCTCAGAACAGCGATGCAGGGGACACAGCAGACAGCCGCACACAATCTAGCCAGGACAAGCTGAGCATGGCCACCAGGAGACCTGGCACTGTCCCATGGGGCAAGGATCACCGTGGGTTTTCGGGCCCCTTGTGGACAAAGAAGTAGAGGGAACCACGGGGCCCCACTCAGGGAGACAGGCAGACCAGTGTGTACTGACCTTTCTTCCCAGCCTCGCATCCTCACGGCCTGCAGGGACTCGTTCAGCACCATCCGCATGAGCTTCGTGCAGAAGGGGATGGGTGTCACCAGAGGTGGGGGAAGCTGCCCGCACACCCTCAGGGCCCAGGCAGGGACGAGACCGCCTCACCAGGTAGAACTTGTCCAGGCGCAGCCGGTCGATGCCGGGCCACTCTCGGACCATGGTCTGCCAGAAAGTCTGTAGGAACAGGCGCTCTGCGGAATGCAAAAGGCGCGTGGATGCCAGGGCCACAACAGGGACGGAATAGGGGTCCCAGAGCCCATCAGGCCCAGGCTGAGCCTGAGTTCCCTGAGGGCCAGGACACTCGTGCTTGCCCCTTGGACCCACGCTCAGACAGGCATGGACTTTTGATACTATGTGCTGAACATGAGGCACCCCGGCTGAACCCTTGCCCCACAGGCCTCAGATGGGGATGAGGTCTGTACAGGATCTTAAGGTAAACAAGGCCATCAGGGCAGGACCAAACCTAACTTGACTAGCATCCTCACCAAGAGGTCAGGGCGCAGGTGTGCAAAGGAACAAAGACTCATGGTGCGTGCCTGCAGCTCCTCCCTCCTGTCAAGACGGGCTCCACCCCCAGGGCCCCGAGGGCCCAGGAAGGTCTTAGGCAGTGACACTTAGGCCACGCCCCAGAGCTGGGCACAAGTGGACCAAGGTCTGCGCGTCAGGACTCTGCAGCACTAGGTTCAGAACTCAGGGCCTCATACATGGTGGGCAAGCACTCCAGTGTTAAGCTACATCCCTAGCCCTTTTTATTTTGGGAAAGGGTCTTTAGCTTGTGATCCTTCTGCCTCAGCCTTCAGAGTAGCTGCGATTATTGGAATGTATCACCACACCCAGAAAAAATGCCAGGATGCTGAAAGGTTGCACCAGTGATTCCAATGAGTAGCCCAGAACTACTCATCACGGTCGGTTTAATCACAGGAGGGAAAAATATACCTCGGGAGCTTTGCAACTGTCAGGTGGAGTCCAAACACTGTGAGACCACTGGCTGCCTCCCTCTTCATCCTAATTCCATTCAGCAGGAACTCAGGCTCTCCTGCTCCTGAGGTGAGTCCGCATGGGTGAGGGGGTGGTTACCCGCTGCTCCCCACATGACCAGCACCCACACACTGGCTGCTTCTGCTGCAGATTTTAGAACATGAACTGCCCTGGTTCGGCTTCCTCTCTCAGCAAGTCTGGCACCTACAAATAGGCTCAGCCTCGGCAGAGCTACTCACGTGCCTCTGTGGTCTGAAAAGCATGGATGAGCCGGGAGATGGTCCGCCCTAGTTCCTCCTGTGTAGGAAACAGCAAAAACACAGTCCTCCCGGAAGCATTGTGCTCTCCGTGTGGTGAGAAGACACACAAACGTCCCTTACTCTCAGGGAACCAGCTGCCAGGGTCTCAGCCCAGTGGACTCTGGCTCTCAAAAAAGGCCTCTTCCAAAGCCAGGGCCATAAGACTCTCCCCACAGCGATGACCATAGTCCTCTGTACCCTGAGCAAGGGGTTGACAGTCACCAGGGCTGTGGAACAGATGGCAGCCATCTTCCTAGCCAGACCCCACAAGTCACTCCCTGGCTGCCCTTGCTCCATCAGAAAATTCCAGAGTCTCTGAGAGACGGTGTTCAGATTATGAGCCTGGAATCCACATTTAAGTATCTTTACACTTGGGTGATTCCAAAGAGCTAACAGCTCAGTCTTGAAAACCACTTTGAAAAGGCCAGCACATTTGCATTCTGTACTTAAACTGTCATTTTGGTACTCAATGTGGTTTTTTTTTTTGTCTTTTTCCTTTTTATCGGTACCAGGGATCGAACTCATGACTGCCTGCTTGCAAGACAGGTGCTTATGCCGCTGAGCTAAATCCCCAGCCCCTACTCGATGGTTTTGATCCCACTGGGAACAAACGCAAAACAACCCAATGCACCCAGCCCTCACTGCCCCACTGCCAGCACAGCCATGGCACTCATGCCTGTAATGGAGTGGCCAGCCACAGACCAATGCACGGAGGCCACATGACTCTTCCTGTAATCTCTGTCTACCACAGAAAGGGGACAGCCACAGCCCCCCTGGTCCCCTCCAGCCTCTCAGGCCACCTGGCCACGCACCTACCTGCAGGAGCAGCTTGTCCTGCATCCACATGCAGTAGAACAGTCCTTTCCAGATCTTCAGCAGCTCATCATGTGTGAAGCCACCTGCAACCAAACAGCAGTGATCACAGTAAAAAACTGGACTCTTTAGTGCCCGGAAGCAGGGCCATCGAGATTTGTCCAAAGTCCTATGCACTCTATGGGACCTGGGCCAGGGTGGGGGTGCCGGGCCGCCTGCCCTTTCCCCCAAGCAACCTTTCCAATTTAAGAGCCTGCTGTGCTCCCGGCTGTGAGGGTCCCTCTAGGTAACTTCCTGCACCCACTAACACTTGTAGAGACATGCACCGGCCACCCTACTCCACTCCAGTCACAGCTCAGAATGTCAACTCTTTCCTGATTGGATATCAGCCACAAGTTGACTATGGGGGACCACGCTCCAGCATCCCACCAAGGCGCACCTGTGTTATGCCTCAAATGTCAAGAGAAGGGAGTTAACTAATCGTTCAGGCTAGCAAAGGCCGATCGTCATTCATTGAGGCGACCTGTGCTGGAAAGCCTGTCCTTAGCCCACATTGCCTCACTGCAGAGCATAGGGCACAAGGGCTTCAGATCCCACGGGGCCAGGCCCCCAGAATCTGAATTTCTAAGAAACATCCAGCTGATGCTGAAGCTGCTGGGTGTGCAGGGGACACGCACTGAGAACTGGCACAGTGAACCGTCGGCAGGAAGCAGGTTCTCTGCCCACAGGGAGGTTTCAGCGGCGCCCGACACAGACCGAACTGGGCCAGAGAAGTTCGGCCGTGCAAAGCAGATGCGGGCGGCCGGAAAAGTCGGCTACAGGGGCAGCGGGGAACGATACCTGATGGTGAAGGCTTCCCGAAGTGAAGCAGGCTGGAGTGAGGAAGGAACTGGGGGACTGGATGGCCGTGAGCGCGACCACGGCCGAGGCGACCGCCGCCCGTCGGCCACGCGGAGGCCTCAAAGCCTAGGAGGCCCCAAAGCCTCGGAGGCCCCGCCTACCTGTGGCCCGCTGGGTCCTGGCGACAATGTACTTCCGGAGCTTCCGCACCGCCCGGTCCCGGGTCACCTGCTCGTTGCCCGCCAGGCGCTGCGCCAGCTGGATTTCGGGGGGTAGCTGCGCGCCAGGACCCATGACCTCCCTTCCAGACCCCGCACCAGAACTAAGCAGCTGCGGGCGCGTGACGCCACGCGGTCATGCGTCACGGCCCCGCGACAGCGCTGGGCCTTACGTCACTTTCCGGCGACGACGCTGCTCTAGGTCACGCGCTGGAGATGCCACAGGGCCGCTCACTATCGCCGCGCAATGGCTTGGCCGCGCAACTGCAGCCTGTGCGGAAGGTGGGCAGCGAGGCGACCGAGAGGATCCTGGTGACATCTGCAGCGGCGGGGAGGGAAGGTAACGTGAGCCCGCTTTCTTCACGGAGAGGCCCTGCGGGCACGGGTAGCAGCAGTGGAACCACTTGAAGGCCGTGGTGCCGCCGCAGAGTTAGTTGGTAACTGCTGCGACTGCCCCGAAGGGCTGCGTGGAGCCGGCGCTTGCAGACAATCTTCCCGCGCGCGCCCAGGGGCCGCCCTCACATCAGGCCGAGAAGGCGTCCGCTTCTCAGGGCAGAGGACCAGGGAAACCCGTGGAACTCCAGGTGGCTCGCCGGGCTGCGACACACCGGCCCTCAGTGCCTGCGTCCAGGAGGAGGGAGGCGGCTGGTGACAGACAGCTCGAATGCCACCTGGCAGTGAGAGCCTGGGTCCTGACGACAGTGTACTTCCGGAGCTTCCGTACCGCCCAATCCCAGGTCACCTGATCACAGAGCAAGGAAGTGCATGGGTTTCTTAGGGGTCACAGCGCTTTCCCACCATGGGGCTCCGCAGACGGTCCCTAGAGAACCCAAGACCACTCGGACCTGCTAACTTGCTAGGACCAGCGCGTGGATCGCTGAGAGCCCACCCGAATCTGCTCTTCCCCACGCAACAGGCCGTTGAGGCTACGGGACAAGCTGTATTATATGTTTCCTGCTTTTGGCAGGATTAGGAGTTGAACCCAGGGTCTTCACACTGAGTGACATCCCCAGACCTTTTTATCTTTTGTTTTTGGATAAGGCCTCGACCCTTAAGTCGCTAAATTGCCCAGGCTGAGCTATAATTTGAAATCTTTCTTCCTCAGCCTAATAGTGTGTTGGGGTTACAGACATGCACAACTGGCTAACAGACAAGGTGTGGAGGCAAAAAGACATCTTTATTCAAGAATTTACCTGCCAGAGAAGATGGAGAACCCTTGCTTAAATTCTGTCTTGCTGAGGGCCGATTGGGAGGTGGTGACCTGAGGCCAATGGGCAGCACCTCAGAGGGAGGTCTGTGGCCACATAACCTTCTTCGATCACATCCAGTCCCGAGGTGCTCCTCCATTCCGCAGGTCTGGAGAGCAAAGCCTTTCATTTCCTTGGGGAGCTCTTGTCACTGCTCAGTCTGCCTCTGTGCCTTTCTGAAAGAAAACACCTGCCCCAGTGCTGTGGAGGGCAGGGGCCACTGAGGACAGAGGGAGTCAGCCACAACACTGGGTCGCAGTTCCTGGCTTTTAGGTGGGCTGTGACAGGGAGGGACACAGCAAAACCGGCACAGAGAACAGGCAGGGAGCAAAGCCCAGCAGCCAGGCCCTGGCACCTTGAGCACCCTGGGTCCAATCATACAGCACCCTGTTTGTGCCCCCTGAAAATAGGTTGTGAGTTCGTGGGAAATGCTGTCCCTGGGGAAGCAGCTGAGTCAGCACCCAGAGCTGTATCAGGCTCAGACCATAGAGGCAGTTTCTGCCCGGCCTGGTTCACGCTGTTCAGCTGTGAGGCCAGACTCACCTTGGTGTCACAGCACAAAGGCTGCTGTAGACCGTGCTGGATTCGAACGGATGTGTGTAGGTTTGTTCCCAGAAAGCTCTATTTTTGAAAAGCTGGTGGGCCAAATGTGGCCTAGAACCACTGATTATCAATTTTATTTTCTTAATTATGCATTCTAAGTATCAGCATGTAGTTCTTTTTTTTTTTTTTTTTTTTTTTTTTTGGTACTGGAGATTGAACTCAGGACTGCATGCTTGCAAGGCAGGTGCTTATGCTGCTGAGCTAAATCCCCAGCCCCATGTACTTCATTTTTATCACTAGAAAAATTTTAAACTTTTGTCTTTTTTTTTTTTTTTTTTTTGACACAGTGTGTCCCTCTGTAGCCCAGGTTGGCCTCCAACTCAATGTGGCTCCTCCTGCCTCAGGCTTGTCAGTGCTGAGAGTATGGGTGTACACCATCATGCCATCTAACCTGTTTTAGACAATAGTGTGCAATAGTTCTGAGCCACCGAAGTGTCGCCTTCAAATTAAAATATTGTGAATGCTTGTGTGGAAGGAATAATCCAAAGTCTGACTCACCTGACAGATGCTCAGAGATCAGAACGGCTCGTTTCTGACACGAATCTGGGAAGAGAGGACAGCGAGCCACACTGCCAGGCCTGATAGAGAATCCCTTAGCATCTGGGAGCAGCTGCTAGGCTCCGGCCAGGTGTCTGGATGTTTGGAAAATGACTGTACAAACTAGTGACTATATGAGCCCACGTGAGATCACATTGTGTGGGGCTGGGAGACTATGCTTTGGGGAGCACTGGGGGAGAGGAAAGGAGAGTGTGTGTTCACACATCTCATCAGTGCCTATGTGTGCCCCAGTTCATTCACACCTTTGGTCCTCAGAACAATCCCGAGAGCATCCCCGGGTAATAAAGAAGCTTCTGTTGTAACCCCTGCCCCCAAAAAACAAGGCCCCATGATAAACAGGGCAAGATGAAGTCATTTTAAAAGAAACGCTTTTATTTTAGCTGGCCCAGCGACACAGTGCAGATGGAATTTGCAAAGCTGTGCAACTGAGTTAGAATTTTGACTGATTTTTATAGTTCATTTATGATTAGCTCATTGATCATTAAGTACATAGTGATGAGAAACAGGAATAAGGTGGGCCTTTGTTCCCCTTTGCTTGAGGTCAGAAGCATTTCACAGTGGGTGGTTAGCCAATTCATAGCCCTTGGTGTGCCAATTCCAGGAACATTTGTCTCTCATAAAGGGAACAATGGTTGACACAGCATCATTTGTCTCTTACAAGGGGAACAAAGGTTGACACAGCAAACAGGCTACTGGGGTGGGGGGCAACGGATGCATACAGAACAGCATAATGCTGTTCTGTTAATCTATAATGATGCTGTCAGTTAATCTATAACTGTGGTTGGTGCTTGGTTACTAGGGTAATGAGCTAAGCACAGAATGACAATACTGCTAACTGTCCTTTTAATTAACTTTTTGTTAATAATTATCTTTTAATTAACTAATTTTTCAGCGTCTTAGTATAACACTTCCAGTTATGCAGCCAACCCAGAGCAGAGAGCGATGTGGCAGGGGAGGAGCCCAGGCAGTCCACAGTGCCAGGCGTGCATCCTTAGGCAAGTGCCCAGGCCCCAGGCTGGAAAGACTAGTACTGGAGGGGCACTGGGCCCCACTCTAGAACTCAGGCCTTCTGGGAAGGAGACTGCAGATTTCTACATGGCCAGATTTCTACTCAAGGGGCAGTCCTGGTCCCAGTCCCATCCTGTCCCGGTCCTGGCTACAGGGCCCAGGTGCAAAACCTCCCCCCAGTTGCCTCACTTTTCCCTTTCTGTGCAGTGTGGGTCTCCCCAGATTGACACTCAGTTCCTTACTGGAGGAAATGAGGAAAAGAAGGAAAGTGGCAGGAGGATGATTCCCGTGTCCTAGAGGACCAATGGCTAGCACACGAATTTTCTATGCATAGTCTTCAGTTGAGCCAGGCTGTGATGCACATCTGTAATCCCAGCGCTTGGGAGGCTGAGGCAGGAGAACCACTGTGAGTTTGAGGTCAGCCTGGGTGACATACTGAGTTCAAAGCCAACCTTAAGGAGGTAACAAGACCCTGTCTCAAAAACAACAAAATCATGTTATGAGATGGAAGGGGGGTTGGGGGAGCTGCTTTGGGGTTTTTGGTGCCTGGTGTGAATAAACAGAGTAGTGAGAGGCATTAGGGAGGAGTTTTGAGAGTAATGAAAGCAGCCTGAAGGTTCCCTCCACAGAGTTCTGCTGGGGAGTGGGGGAAGCTTTGGGCCAATGGGCTAGGCTGAGACTGGAGATCGTGGGGGTCATGGGAGAGTCTGGAGTTGGCAGAGCGGGGTACGTGGCATGATCCACCCATCTGGAGGGGATTGACCATGCGAGGGCTTAGAGGAAGTGTCTTGGGGAGGGGACCCAGGCCAGAGATGCATGCACTTGGAGGTCTTGGGGTGGGCGTTCGGGGAGACCTGTCTCGGTGCCATGATTTCTTGCCCTTGTTCTTTTTCAGTTCTCATCCATGGCTTCCTGTTATTTACTTATCCTTCTCTGCCAGCCTGGGCAACTTAGCAAGACCAGGTCTCAAAATAAAATGGACAAAGACTGGGGTGGGGCTCACTGGCTGAGCGCTTCGCATGCACAAGGCCCTGGGACGACCCATGCACTAAACATGGAACACGAGCAAGTTAAAAAATATGTGTGTCCCATCTTAGGGAAGGCACCGAGGCCACTGGACTGTGCCCTTTGGCTCGGAGGGACCCACAGCCCACCAGATGGGCGTGAGGCTCTCTGTGCAGAAGCTTGGGCCTGGGCATTTCAGGGAGCCCTGGGATGTGAACTCAGGCCCCAGGAGGAGCCATCCCACACACATTGCCTACTGGCTGCACGGGACTCCTCGCTGGGGTAGAGGATGGGCACTGACGGGGCTTCTCGAGTCCATGATGGACATTTCCATAGATAAATATTCTGCCCAGATGTTAATTTTCCTTCAAATAAAGTATCTGAGTTGACCATCTTGTTTTTTTGAGTGTCTCCTTTCGTTCCAGGCTGGCCTCAGCTTGCTGTGCAGCCCAGGGTGGCCTTGAGCTCTCCATCCTCCCACTGCAGCCTCCCAGATGTCATCGGTGTGCCTTAAAAATTCTGAGGTCTGGTGCACGCTTTTGTTTTGTGTGCATGCTGGTGGCGGAACAGTGAGGTTTGTTTGGGGAAGTCGGTGCATGAAGGCGGTGGCTGTTTACCCTGTCCTTCTCCCTTCCTCTGGTTCCCTTTGCCAAAGTCTCAAAATCTCCAAATCTCTGCCTTTCAGATTATTTTTTTGGTATGTCTCTTTTATTTACTTTCTTTTTATTTCTTATATAAGAGGAAATGTGATGTTTAACTTTCCGAGTCTGGCTTAGCTTGCTGAGCACGATGGTCTCCCCTTCCATTTTCCAGGACAGGGTTTTATCCGACACAGCACGGTGCATATGAAGCTCGCTTACCCAGCCTGTGTGGACCCGTGTCTCACTCTCAGATAGTACAGCTATAAAGATAGCTGTGCGTGTGTCAGTGTGCAATGAGCTCTGTTTTTTGCAGTGGTGCAGTTGGATCAAGTGGAACCCCTATATTTAGTGTTTTGTGGGCTCTCTAGACTGACTTCCAATGGCTGTTCTGGCTTACGCTCCCACCTTCCCCGCCCCACCCCACCTTCATAGTGTAGGTGTTTGTATAGAGGCATCTTGTCTAACAGCCTACCCATTTAACAATTAACTGTTCACACTAGCAACAGTTCTGACTTTTTGTTCACTTCTGATTTGCAGTGCCCTAATAACAAAGCTGTTGAACTTTAAAAACATTTATTGGCCATTTGCACATTTATTGGCTTTTGAGATGTGCCTACTCGGTTCACTTGCCCAGTTTTGACTGGGTTATTTTGGGAGGTTAATCTGATAGATATTAATCTATCAGAGGAGTGGCTGGCAAAGATTTCTCTCCCATATTGCAGGTTCTTTACTCTGTTGTTTCCTTTATTGTGTGGAAGCTTTTTTATGTAGTCCCATTTAACTTACTTAATTCAAGCTGGCCTCTAACACTCTGTGGTTCTCCTGCCTCAGTCTCGGGAGTGCTGGGATCACAGGCGTGTACCACCACACTCGGCTCACTTGTTGATTGTTGCTGTCATTTCTGGGGCTATTGTGGTCAGTGAGAAAAGCTCTATGGCTGTGATGTCAAGTGTCTCCCATGTAATCTTCCAGCAGCTTCAGTTCCTGAATTTATGTCTAGGTCTGCAATCCATTTTGATTTCAGTACAGGGTGAGAAGCAGGGACCTAAATCCTGTGCACCTAGGCATCAGTTTTCCCTGTACCCTTTGTCAAGACGGCTGTCTTTCCTCCAGGATGTCTCTGACCCCTCTGACAGAAATCAGATGGCCGCAGATGCACTGGTTTGCATCTTCCTGCAGCCCATGGACCTGATCAGCTTTCTATCAGCTCCTCGCCATCTCTGTCACCCTGACTCTGTAGTGTAAGCTGAGGGTTGGCTTGTGATGGTTCAGCCTTGCTCTTTTTGCTCAGGACCACTTTGGTAGTCTAGGTTTTACCCATATGAACTTTAAGATTTTTCACACTTCTTAAAGAATGTTTCTGGCTTTTAATCGGAACTTTGCTGAATCTGTAGATTGCTTTTTTAACACGGCTGTTTCCTTCTGACCCATGAACAGAGCATTGTCTTTTTCTACTTTGCGGCTGTTTGCATTTCTTCAGTGCTCTGTAGATTTCACTGTAGAGGTCACGACCTCCTTGGTTAGGTTGGTTGCTAGGTGGTTAGTATTTTTGCAGCTTTTGTGACAGTCCTTGTTTTCCTGATCTGTTTCTCAGTGGGCTGGTTACCGGTGTGCTTCGGGGTGTTTTATATCCTGAAGTCTTGGGTCTTCTTTACCAAAGTGCATGAGTAGCAGACACTCTTTGGTGCTTCGTTGTAGTTTCTAGCTGCACACCCTACAGCCTCTTGTGACCACAGGTGGGACCTTTGGGAGGTGCCTGGATCATGGCCCTCAGAGCTGACTTGCTGCTAGGGGAGGGTCTGATTGGAAGAGGCAGTCACTGTGGGCGTGGTGTGGGAGGGCTCATCTCCCTTCCTGGTCACCATGAGGTGAGCAGCTTTTCCTCCCCCAGGCCCCTCTTCTTTGGAGCCAGTGGGCCATGCACTGAAATGTGAGCCAAAATAAATGCCTCCTCAAACTGTGGGTGTCAGGCATTGTGTCCTGGTTCGAGGAAGGTAACTAAGACATGCTTGTTCTATGGCGGTCATCCTGTGGGAACAGATGTGGGTCTCCCTGTACTTGCCCATCTCTGCCAATGCAGGTGGCTGCTGCCTTGCTCTAGAGCAAGGCCTGAATCAGTATCTGCTCTGCTGGCATGTCTGCCGCCACAGGTGTTAACCACCTACTCATTAAGTGTGGGCGCCTGGGGCCAGCAGGGAGCTGGCTAGGGATCCCCAGAGTGCCACGGGTGGTGAACATCTCTAGTCCCAGCTCTCAGGAGGCTGAGGTAGGAGGATCACTGCAAGTTCAAGGCCAGCCTGAAGTACATTAGTGAGACCCTGTCTCAATTGTCTCCCCTGCCCCATCATGGTCACTGCAGCAGAGCTAAGAGGCAGGACAGCCACGCTGCCCCTTCTGATTGCTGCTACTGGGTGCACAGGGAGTTAACAGCAGTTGCCTTCACGGCTGAGTCTACCCCCTCCCTGGACTTCTGTGGACTTTTGTGAGCTCCAGGGTCCATCCAGAGACAGCTACCTGGGGTCCTCTGAGATGTTAATAAGCAAGGATCTAATGCTTCATCTTGTTTTCCCAGTCTGTCTGCTTCCTGAGCTGGAATTTACTTATCAGCAAGTCCTCATGGTGACGGTTTGCACCGTGAGGACACAGGTGGCCCACAGGCCCTGGGAGGGCATCTGAGTCACTGCTCTAAGTGTGTTAATGAGAACCAGAGCACCACGGGGACAAGGGGTGGGAGACACTGGGCAGTGTCATATGCACAAATGCCACTTGGGGTCTGCCAGGAAAATCAAATTTCACAAGTGAGATTTCAAACTTGCTTGACTCTGACATTTTGACTCTTTTTTTGAAACCAGGTCTCATGCCCTAGGCCAGGCTTTTCTCAAACTTGTGGTGATCCTCCTCTCTCAGCCTGCCAAGTGCTGGGATTACAGATACGTGTCATTAAGCTCAGTTAAAATTTTGATGTTCCTGAACAGATTTCAAGTTTGAATGATGTATGAAGCTTCTGCGATAGAACAGGATGACTGATTAGGAGACAGGTCTTTGCCCTGGGCCTCACAGGATGAGAAGCTGTGGTATCCAGAAATGAGAGGTGAAAATAGTTTTCCAGGGCTTCCAATGGGAAAGTAGTAACACAGCTGGATGTGAGGCTTTGCAGCGTACCTGATAGTAGCCAATCCCGATGCCTGCCGAGGCAGGTCCAGGGCTGGCTCCACACCCAGGCTGTGGGTTGCTGCTGCCCCCACGGGCCTGGGGTCTGTTTCTCTGCTCCCAGCCTGTAGCAGGAAGGCAGCTGGGACCCATGCATCATCATGGCAGATGTTGACCACTGGGTGACTCACCCCTCACATTACTGAGTCTGCTCTGCCTCTACTCGTGACCCACTGGCTGCCGGCCTCACATGGAAAAGACGGGTGATGTCCGACCCTGGCACAGCCTCCCAAGGAGAAGCTTCCTCCAGGCCACAGGGCCAGGATGCCAGGCTGAGGGCGTCTGGTGGACAAGAGAAGTGGCTTCTTGAGAATTCATGACTGCTCTGGTGTGCCTGGCTCGGGGTCTAACCTGGAGCCTGGGAGACTCACCTGGCACCACATCTGCAACCCCTGATGAACTGGGACTGGGTGGTAGCCCTATGTCTCCCACCTATCTCCGGTAAAACTCTTCCCTCTCCTTCCAGTTACTGGGTTCACAGGGCAGGGTGGAGGTGGATGCCTCGCTGACAAACACACAACTGTCACTTCACATGAGACAGTGCTGACTCAGCCCACTCACAAGCAGGCCAGAAGCACTGCTGCCCCTGCCTCAAGAGGTCACCTGGTGTTTGTCTCCTCTTTCAATCTGGGGCTAACCAGAAAAAGCTAGCTGTGCGCTTCAGCCAGACACACGGACACTTTGTCCCTGTGGGCCTCCCCTCCCCTGCAGGCCAGCCTCCAGTCTCTGCCGACTGCAGGCCAGGGCAAGTTGGGCCCTTGCACAAAGGTCCCTGAATACAAACCCTTTCTTGTTTTGAGAGTGTTATTAGGCATGACACCCAGGGCCTCCTACATGCTATGCAAGTGCTCTACCGTGGAGCTACATTCTCAGCCCTTTTCACTTTTAAACTCTTGGGAAGTTGCCCAGGCTAGGCTCCAATTTGAGATCCACAGCCTCCCAAGTAGCTAGGATTACAGGTGTGTGCCACCTTTTCAGGCTCTGAATAAGAACTGTTCTCCTTTCTCTTTCCTTCTTCCTTTCGTCTATGAGTTACCTTACCAGCCCTTTTCACCCTGGGTTTCACTAAACTGTTCATTGCTGACCCTCCTGTTAAGTCTTCCAAAATGCTGGGGTTACTGGAGTGTGCCACAGCACAGGCTTTCTCTAAAGCTGTTTTCATCGCGTGGTCCTGGTCTATTATCGGGATTTTGACCCTTCTGCTGTCTCCAAGGGCATGGGGGCTCAGCTCCAGCAGGGAGCCTAGGCTGCCAAGGGGACATCTCAGAGCCGCACCTCCTGCTGGCACTGTCATTAGCCCCACGGACATCTCAGAGCCGCACCTCCCGCTGGCACTGTCATTAGCCCCACGGAGCTGCAAGAGGGAAGAGACAGCAGAACGCTGTTCTGTTTTCTAGGAAAGCTTTCCGTTTTGGGAGACAGTGAATAGCAGAGTCTCTCCTGCCCTAGCTCAGGCTGGCCACGCCCGATTTCCCACCCTCCTGGGCGACGGGGTCAGGCGGCCCCTGTACGGCTCTCTCGGCCGGAGTCCCGCTGGCACATTCCCACCCGGGGGTTCGGTCCGGGGCCTGAATCTTAAGCCTGGATTCCCCTATTCCCGCCACGTCCTTTCTGACCCCTGCGGTCCCGGCCCAGCCCAGCCTAGGCTGCAGCCACCTCCCGCTCTCAGGCAGTGTCCCCACGTCAGCCACGCGCTGTCGCGGTCACTCCTGGTGTCCTCACAGCCAGGCTCTGCAGTGAGGCCCAGGTGAGCGGGCGTCTATCTCCCCAGCGACGACGCCGCACTCCCATCTGGCTGCGCGGCCGCGCCCCTGGGGTCCGCGTGACTCCCAAGCAAGAAGCAGAACGCCACCGCGGAAGGACGCGACAGGGACTTTCCGAGCGGGAGCCTGCGGTGGCGGGCGTACGCATGCGCCTGTGTGCGAGTCTGTGCTTGCGCATGCGTCCTGCGTAGGAGTCCGTGCGTACTTGTTCAGGCGCCGGCAAAAACTGGGGTGTGGGCCTGGGCTGGGGACAAGGCCCCGCCCACCCCGCTGTTCCGCCCGTGTCACGAGGCCGCCGCGCATAAACACTGTCCCGCGGGTGCTCGGGGCCGCTTCACTCGCCTCGACCTCCTATCTCGCCGCCAGCATGATGTGCGGGGCACCCTCTGCTGCCAAGCCAGCCACGGCAGAGACGCAGAAGCTTGTGGACGCGGTGAGATTGGGGTGCGAGGCGCGGTCCTGGGGCCCGGAGAGAGACCTCCTCGGCCCGGGAACGCGGGACCCCGCGGCGGGGGCGCAGGCGACCCTCTGCCACTCAGCGCTGTTTCGAACTCCCGAGTTTGAAGTTTTCTCCAAAGTGAAAAGGAGTGCTCTGCGCCCCACTCCGTGCCTCGGTTTCCCTGCCGCACGGTGTCAGCCAGACCCTGGGAGGGCGCCAGCCAGGTGCAGGACGCGCTGCCCAGGTCCGGACCCTTCTCTGCAGGGTCAGGGCGTGGGCCAAAGGTCGGGCAGGCCCCCTCCATGACTTCTCTGCCTGGTTCTCCTCCCGCTCCCCGCTGTGGTCAGCCACCGCTTGCAGCACCGGTGGCGTGGGCCGTCCGAGAGCAGTCAGCTGGTGACTCAGGCCCACAGGACCAGCAGAACTGCCCTAGAACACCCCTGGGCTGCCCGCGGCCGCGCCCATGTCTCAGTCCGTGGTCTTTCCTTCCTTTACTCAGCAGGGTGGGAGAACTGTCTCAGGTGGCGGAAATCATGTGGCGGGTACTGGGGATTGAACCCAGGCTCGTCGCGCTGAGTTATACCCTCGGCCCTTTTGTTCTTATTTTGAAACGTTGAGTCTTGCTAGGTCAGCATGTTCCCCAGGCTGGGCTTAAACTTGCAGTCTTCCCGCCTCATCCTTTGAAGGTGCTGAGATGAGAAGTGTGCATTACCATGGTGCCATTCTTACTGACCTGCATCAGTGTGTTCTGGGTCCTGATCCTTCTCCCACTTGCAGAGGGGACTTCAGATCAGAGCCTGGCCTTGGGTCAGAAGGACAGCAGGTCTTTCCTTTGGACCAGCACTTGGGATCCCCAGCTTGGTTGGGTCCCTGTGCCTCCCAGGCCCTTCACCCCATTTGATCCCCTGTGGCTGGTAATGCACTAACCTGTGGCCTTGTGGGAAGCCCAGTCCACCTGGCCCCTGTCCCCAGAGTCAGTCTGGACCTTGAGCCCCTTCCGCCATAGTCCAGTTCCTGCAGATTCCTGTTGTGCCCCTGAGAGAAGTCCTCTCCTCTCAGTCTGGGCAGGTGTCACTCAGCCAGCTCCATGGCTGTGACACACTGTGCTGTCTGTGCAGCTGCAGCATGCCCTGAACTGAGACAGGCCCAGGGATGCATTGAGTGTAGATGGCCATCATCTTTCTTCCCAGACTCTAACCTTTCCCACTGAAGCCACCCTTGGGTGGCCGAGTCACCCTACCCTGGATGGCTCACTGCCTACAGCTGGTCGGCTCCTTTGTTTCCAGCAAGGCTGCTGCCTCCTACTGGTGTCTTCCGGCTGGAAACTCAGTCCTCTGTGAGTCCCTGGCCATGCACTGTGATGGCAGCCAGGGACGGCACTTTTCACCTGCATTCGTTAAAAAAAATTGTCTTTGAGGGGCTGGGGATTTAGCTCAGCTGCATAAGTGCCTGCCTTGCAAGCGCATGGTTGTGAGTTTGATCCCTGGTACCAATAAAAAAAATTGTCTTTGGAACAGACCAACTTGCTGTTTCCTCCATATAAAAGTACCAGCACCTGAAGGTCAGAGCCCCTAGAAAACGGAATCTAGTGAGATGCTTGTTCACTGTTTTGATTCAAATTGGGGTCCACCTCAGACCCGGAGGCAGGCTTCCCCCTGCATGGTGTCCCCCAGCTGCATGGTTTGTCATGACAGAGGCCAGGAGAGCCCTGGGTAACCATGGCAGAACAGTGAAGAGGAGCCAGGTGTGCTTAGGATGTGGAAGGTGAAATACTAATGAGATTTGAGATCTGGGTTCACAGGAAAGATTTTGTTTTAAAAAATAAATTAGGGCTGGGAATACAGCGCAGCGGTGGAGCCATGCTGGATTTAGTCTTTGGCACCAACAAAATAATAAATAGAAGGTTGGTTAAAAATGACATACAGTCTGTGGAAATGTTTGCATACGCAGTGAAAAAAAATCGGTATGAGTTTGTGCATTGGGTTTTAGTGCAGTGATAAAAACCCTAAAATGTCCTGCAGCCCACAGAACATCCAGGGACGTCCTGAGCAAGCATCGGGGAGCTGGCAGCCAAAAGGAACTGGTTTCTTGCATTTCATTGGTGGAGCAGATGAAGCTCCTCCCTCTCTGCTGTGAGGCATGGCAGTGTCACAGCATTGGGTGTCATTTGTGGGGATCTGCTTAGCCTTGCCCTCCTCCCCACGCCTAGGTGAAGGCCCAGCTTGAAGAGAAGGAGAACCAGAAGTATTCAGTTTTCAAGGCCGTGTCCTACAAGAACCAGGTGGTGGCGGGGACCAACTACTTTGTCAAGGTGGGTGTGGTCCTGGGTGGTCTTGGACACCAGTGCTTCTGGGGTCCCAGGGCTTCCCCAGCTTTGGGGGTTCACGGCCTCTGGACATGTGGGTACATGGATGAGTGTGCACTGGCCTGCCCAGGGGGCACCACAGGAGCACCAGCTTCAGGGTCCTGTCCAGATAGGGAGTCGTCCTTGACCCAGTGGCCTGTGTGGGGTGGGTGCGGCCCTGTCCTCACGGTCCCTTCTCTCCAGGTGGATGTTGGGGAAGAGAACTTCTTGCACTTACGGGTGTTCGAGAGCCTCCCGCACGAGAATAAGCCCCCGGTCCTGGCCGCCTACCAGACCAACAAGTCCAGGCACGACGAGCTGGCCTACTTCTAGGCCCTCGTCCTGTGAAGCTCTGTGTTACCTGCAAGCCAGGGTGTGGGACCATGATGTAAATCATCCTGCTGGGCCAGTCGGCCATGGGAGCAGCTTCTTACTCTGTGGTTGGAAAATGGCTTTGTGTGATTTTCCCCTCCCAGTGAATGATCTCATATTGATCCAGAAGGCACCATGTGATCTCCCTCTAAATACATATTTTTAAAGTCTTTATGGATGGCTCCTCATGTCAGATGTTTTTCTTCATTTGGAGCCAGATGTGCCCAGGAAAGCATGGCTGGTGCTGACACAGCTCCATCCCTGCCAGTGTGATAGTGCTGCTGGGCCTGGGTGTCTGCCCCAGGTCACGGCAGAGCCGTGAGAGCCAGGACTCTCCATGGGCCTGGGCTGACGTCCCAGTCATGGTCCTGGGCTGGCCCTGGGCACTGTCCTCCAGCTCAGTCTCCCCACACAGCAAAGATAGGCCAGTAAGTCAGCTCCATGATGAGCTCCCCATGCTGGGCCACAGTTTCACTCTGAGCGTGGCTGAGAGACAGCGTGTGAGGGGAGCCCACCGCTTCTAACGGGAGGCATTCTTTTTTTTTTGTCTTTGAGACAGGGTTTCACTGTGGAGTTGAGCCTGGTCTTGAACTCACTGTGCAGCCCAGGCTGGCCTCCAGTTTGTAGTGACCCTCCTGCCTCAGATTCCCAAGTGTTGGGATTACAGCCACACACCACCCGGCCACGGCAGTATTCTGAGCAAACTGTAGGAAGCCTCCCGTAGTGGGATGCAGAGGAAGGAGGTGCAGTGAGCCTGGCCCTGCAACCAAGAGTACCCCTGTTGGTTTACAGAAGTGGCTGCAAGGAGGTCAGGTGCCTGAGGACCTTGGCGCTGCCACGGCCCCCTGGATGTGCCATCTGTGGGTGGAGCTGGGCCCCTACGTCTGGTGGTCAAATGGCTGTGTTCCTGGCCAGTAGGAGAGGGTGAGGGTCACACTGCACATGGGACACTTCCTGCCAGGTGCCGGGCAGCCGGTGTGCGTTTTCTGAGTGGAGTGGGAAGCTGGAGAGCCAGCCCCCATCCCCAGGAGCTGCCCTGTGTCTCCTCCACACCCCCATTTGTTATGCAGTGCACCCTGCTGGGCCAGGCTCCAGCCAAGCAGGAGGGAAGACCAAATCAGGGTCTACACAGGGTCAGCCTGGCCCAAGCCCCTGGGGAGTGCAGTGTTCTTTGTGAGTCCTGTGTCTTCTCGCAGGAGTCATCCCTTCAAGGACGCTGCTCACCTTGTCCTTGTTAGTGCCCGGCTGGGGCCCTACGGTGCACGCAGGCTGCCCCTGGGCAGAGGGGCTGGGCCAGGCAGCCAGAGAAGCAAATCCAGACAGGAAGGAAGGAGAGTTGAAGAGACTCAGAGTGGTGCTCTTTACAGGACTCCCTAGATAAAGGAGACGTCAGAGAATTCAAAGGACACTTTGATTACCCACCAGAGACACCTAGATCCTCGCTATGGACTGGGCCAGTGCCCTTTTGGGGGTGGGCCAGCTTTTCCTGAAGTCCCAGCCCTAAAAGATCGCAGGAAACAAGGCAGCTGTCAGCACTGCCCCTGTCCCTGTTCACTCTGCCAGGTGCATCCGTGTCTGCATGGGTGAGCTGTGCATCTGCACAGAGGACATGGCCGCCTGTAGCAGACCGCATCTCTCCTTCCTGGGCTGCCCGAGGCCATGCCTGTCCCTGCTCTACCCTGCCACACTGTGGGCCCCCGTTGTCCCTGGTTGGGCAGAAGTGAGGACGCCGGCTCTCCAGGTCTCACTCATGCCAGAAGCTAGCGCTTCACGGGGCTAAGGCTCCAGCTGAGAGTGTCGTGTCCCTGCACCCGGGGCCTGACCTCTGTCTGCTGGGAGTCCCCAGTGCCCACTACCTGGCCAGCAGCATGAGGGCTCTGCAGAGAGCTGGGGGTGTGGCTGGAAGCCCTTACTCACCACCCAGCCCTCTCCTGTGTGGCCACGCTTAGTCCATAGGGGCTACCTCCTCATGGGCCTCTGCAGCAAACGTCATCCCACTATCACCACTGAGGGCAGGAAGGAGCAGAAGCCAGGCCTCAGGTCCCAGGATCTGGCAGAGAAGAGCTGGGAGAAGCAGCCCCCACGTCCTCCTCAGTCCCGAGACACCCCTCGGGGATTCCTGGAGGAACCCCTAAAAGTGACAAAGAGGGCAGGGCCCAAGGACCTTGGCCACACTGGGCGGGGCAAGGACTTCTTTCTTGCATGGGGAGGAGACTCGTCCGACCACTGCTGCTTGGCTGGTGGGTAACACAGCTCAGCCCCCAACAGGTGACACAGGGAATAAGAGGCCATGGTACCACCGCACCAGTGATGAAAATATTTATTTGTGGGTAATCACAGATGTCAACAGGACCAGCACAACACAGAGGCGGCTACACGGCAGCATAGGAGTCACATTTACAACACAGGGTGTGGGGTGGGCATGGGGAGGGTGGCGCCGGGCTCCCTGACCACCTGACCCTGGACTCTGCCCCTACAGCAGGGTCTGTGGCCACCTGCGCTTTGCTCCAAGGTAAAGGAGCAGAGCCCCTGGCTCCATTGGTCCAGTTTTGCAGTGATTGGATGAAACTCCAGCTGACGCTTTCCCCTACCTGGAGGCTGTGCAGCTGTGAAGGGTCCCCAGGGACTGCATGTTTTCCTTCAGGACAGCATGGAGTGACTCCCTCCCATTCCCACAAGCACACCACAAAGACCCAGGGTGCACTGTGGGTATCGCTCCGGCTCCAGCTATCCCCCTAGGGACACACTGGCAGCTCCAGCACACCTGCAGCTTTCTGGTCTGCTGGCTCCAGGGCAACTTGGTGACCTCAGAAGCCACAGACCCAGCTCCAGACCTGGCTAGGTGCTGCCTCACCTCTACCTGGGACCAGCTTCTCTAGCAGCCCAGGGGGGGACAGCACAGGCTCTCCTCCTTCTGCCTGGGCTGCAGGGCCCACATGCAAGAGAGATGTCCCACTGGCCAGGTGCACAGCCCTGGCCATGGAAGGTCTTTCCCATCCACCCAGACTTCCCCTTGCAAAAAAGACCAGAAACAGCCACAGGGAGCTGGGGCATAGTCACTATGCTGTCCTGGCATTATGTAAGGACAGGGCCTACTTGGGTCAACTGGCTGGGATCTTTTTAAACACTGTATCTCCAGACAATTAGAAAAACACCTCTAGGCCTGCCTTTTACTCACCAGAGACTTCACAGTATTCACCGTCAGACCTCAGAGTGTGTGGAGTGGGCATTCCCACCAGGCTTGAGCTCAGAGAACAGACAGTGGGAGTCACATGAACAGGCAGGGTACCCCCCACCCTTCTGGACCGCCCCACAGGCAAGGTGACAATGCATATGCTGGGCTCAATGTGAGGTTTGGGGACACAGAATGCACACCAAAAACCCAGGCAGGCACCTGCACACACGGGTCACCTGTGCACTCAGAGGGTCGCAAGTTCAAGGCCAGCCTGGGGGTGGTGAGAAACATTCACAGTGGGAGCTGGGGTGCAGCTCCATGCTCCCCAGGTCCACCCTTGGTACTGCAAAGGACAAAGCAAGCACAAAGGAAACATTTCAAAAGCCCCCCAAGAAGAGCAGCTGACAGCAAATTTACCAGGGCGTGGGCCAGGGACCCTGCAGCACCCACTTGCCCACCTCTGGGCACAAGGTGGCCCCTGCTGATGGGGCCAGAAGAGCACAGCAGAGAGAGAAACAGAAAGGGGCAGAAGACTCTGCACCTCTGGTGCCTAAGTCCAAGGCTTCCCTGGCCAGAAGTTCATGCTGGCCCTGCACATCGAGGGCCCAGCCTCCTGGAGGCCCTTCCACCTGGCAGCAAGATTTCTGGGGACAGAAGACAGTGAGGGCAGATGGTCCCCAGGAAGCCACCACCAAAGCTCTGTGCTCCCTGCCTTGCACTTCAGCCCCCTTCCTTGGTCCCAAAGATGGACAGGGGGGGGGGCCCAGGGGAACAGCTGGTCCCAGGACACCTCAGAGCAGCACGGATTCGCCGCTGCTCCCCCTCCCCCCCGTCCCCAAGCTGGTGACCCTGTGAAGGGCAGGGAGGATATGGGGAAGGGTTCTGTCACCTCCTAGCCCTGTACTCTGGAGCATGGTGACCACACAGCCTGCCACAGCCCCCCCCACCCCGCCCCACAACCCCTGCCGCCATGCACCGTCATCCTGAGGGACACAAGGCACGAGCTCCACTACGGGTGCTGCCAGGATGGGGTGACTGGTGCTGCAGACCACCTCCGCTGCAAAGCAGCCTCCTGCGCCCAGCAGCATGACAAGGCTGGGCCTGCTTGGTTCAATGTGAAACCAAATGTTTTAAAAATTGGCTCCAACAACGTCAGGAACAGGACATGAAGAGAGGCACCCATTTACAATCCCTGGAGACTGTAAAAGGACCAACCGAGGCACGGTTACTGGGCAGGATGGAGCACTGGTTTAAGATTGATTTAAAAAGACCATATTCGCCAGCTCCTTCACACGGTCTGGGTTAAGGTAGTGTTAAAATGCTGTCCCCTAGCACTGAGCAGGCAACAGGGCCCCTAGGGTGCTTATCTCAGCACAAGCCGCACCCATCCTGCGTGGCACTGTGGGAAGCACAAAGGGCGACTCCATCCAGGACTCGGGCCATGTGTCTCCTCAGATGGGAAATTTCATGGGCCCGGGAACACCACGCCATCCTGTGGAAACGCACCCAAGGGAGCCAGACCAGGGTGCCACCATGCGTGACAGTCTCATGCCAGGGATGGCAGTCAGGCAGGGCCACCTCTTCCGAGGAAGCACCCGCCCTTCTCCTTCTGTGTGTGGTGCTGGGCAGTGCTGCGCTCCAGGCTGCGCCCCTATCCCTAACATCGGTCCTACCAAGCCCCCAGTTCTCAGGGGCTCCAACTTCCTCCCGCTCAGTCTCCCAAGCTACACAGCTAAGGATTTCATATTTCTCCAGAGACAACTTGTCACCTTCTGTGTGAGACATGGGAGTAAGGGTTGCATCATACGGAATGGTTCAAGGGACTCAATATTGGACAGGGCCCTCCCCGAGAGCCTCACACACAGCACCTGTGCCCTCAGATGGTGCCACAGTCACCAGAGCCCCATCCCTACAAGGGGAAGGACAAGCCATGGGAGGCACCTTCCTGCCAGATGCAGTGGGGGTGCTCGGGACATGGGGCAGGGACTTGGGCACCTGCTGTCCTGCAGCTGCCCTGGCCCCACTTCTCTCCAGACGGATACCCTCAGGAAAGCACACCTTGGCACCCCACACACAACCATCCCTGGATGACCCAACTGGCAACGGGGTAGGGACACTGCCTGAGCTCTGCCAGCCAGTGCCACGCCCACGGGGCCACATATGGCCTGGCAGGAGCAGGACTCCCTGTCAGCTTTGCGGCAGGAGGGAGATGGGGACAAGGTCTTGACAGTCTTCGGGAGGCAGGTGCCCCCTCTGTCCTCTGTCCCTGCCCGTGCACACTCTATCCTGTTCCACACTCTGTTACCAGCAGAGTGACAAACACAGTGCCCACACCCCAGGTCCCATAGGCAGCCCCCGTCACAGCAGCACATCCCTCGATGTGTGCAGCAGGTATCTAGAGGTTGCCACAGGAAGTCCTGCTGTGAGGACATGCTGGGTCCAGAGAGGCTGTAGTGCTGACCACACCCAGCTGCACCAGAGTACGCAGACAGGAACCTTCTGCATGGTCCTGGGCTGTGCACCGGGGCAACCCAGAGACCCAGTGGGCAGCAGATGACGAGAGACTCTAACGCAGGAATGGAGAGGCAGAGCCCAGAGAGACAGCACACAGGTCGGCATGAAGTCAGCGGCCGCCTGGCCAGCCCATGTGGGAGGGGCTCTGTGGCTGGGGCAGCCAGTGGCTTGACACCAGGATCCGCAGGGCAGCGGGCGGGCCACCACACGCAGGACACCTGAGCCCAGCGCATAGGGAGGGGCTGCGCACGTCACCACCATGGTGATGACTGGTACATTTTCAAAACTGAGACTGGCACCACCCGGCACTAAAGAGGGGACAGATGTGGAGTCTCGGTCATGGCTCTAAGGCGGACGTCACAGGGTTCACAGGGACAAGACAGAGACACTGACGCTGTGTGTGGCAGACAAGTGTGCACAGTCCTCACAGCACAGTGGCCTGGACGACAATCTTGGGGTCCTCGATGTCCTTCTTGCTCTGCACCATCCTCAGCTCTAGCTGGGCCGGGCTGGGCTTCTGTCCGTCCCCAGCCTGGGCTGCGGAAGAAGGGAGTTGGGGGGGGTTCAAACCTGAGATGTGCCCCCTCCCCACCTCCCCCTGCAGCGGAGTGGGCCACCACCTCCCACCGCCCTGGGGCACCTTTGGCACAGTGGATGGTCCTCTGCAGAACGTGGTGCATGGCCGACACGGTCTTCTCACAGGCCACCTGCAGGGATGAGACACACGCTGGCCCACACTCCCCTCCTGCCTGCTTGCCCTGGGTCACCAGGGAACAGCCCCCACCAGATGGGCCAGGCCCAGATGTCACACACTAGATGGCCTGGCAGGGAGCAGCTGGGGGCAGCTGCAGTGTGGGTGGGCAGGGTCCCTCAGTGTGGGAGGCCTTTGGGGCTCTGGGTGCATGGACTTCAAAGGAGACCATGCACTGCTCCGTCCTCCCTCTCTCTGCCTCTGGTGGCCACCACTGGCCCAGAGCAATGGGGCCGATCCAGGGGGGCTGGAGCTCCATGCTGTGAGCTGAGCACCTCCCTCTGCATGCACCTGTGAGCCCTGCAAGTTTCTTTTCCTTTCTGTTTTTTTGTGACAGGGTCTCACTATGCAGCCCGGGCTGGCCTCAAACTTCTGGTGATCCTCCTGCCTCTGCTTCCTGGGTGCTGGGATCACAGATCTGTGCACCACCACGCCTGGCAACCTCAGGGATTTTGTTATGGAGATCAAGTGACTCACATTCCACACATTACATCACCTACTTCCTGTGGACTGGAGGCCCTGGGCGCCCAAGGCCTCTGCTGACGCTGCCTGGCACAAGCTGGTGCCAGGGTTTTACAGTTAGTCAGTTCTGAAGTCGATGGGGAAAGTGGTCCTGCCCAGGGTGTGATGTCAGGGTCAAAGGCCTGGGAGTCCTAGAGAGACTCGGCCTCATTGGGGTACCAGCTGGCAAGGTTCCTGATGCTGCCAGTTACACTCAAAGACCTGGCTCAGCGCTGTCCTCCAGGACAGCTGGGGGGTCACAAGGCAAGGGGGCCTGGGTCTGGCGTTGAGCTTGGGGCTCCCCGGGGCTGTAGGTGAGCTGCTGTGCTCTTTATCCCAGCCATGGAACCACAGAGTTGCCAGGGGGCTCACTGGGATGAGCACACCCTAGCCTGGGGCCACGGTGCCCAGCAGTACACATCCTGAGGGAGGTATTGGGCCTTCTCGTCCCCTTTCCACTCTAAGGGACAGCAGCCCCATGTGGCAAGGGACACGCCTGGGGCCAGTGTGCAGGGTGCCTTTCCAGGCCTGCTTCCGGCAGTCACTCAGCAGCACCAGAGCGGGGAGCCAGGGCTGTGGTGCCGGGCACCCCCTCTCCACTGTGCCCTTTACCCACTTACTGTCCACAGCGCTGAGGGACGTAGAGCTGCTGGCTATGGCTCAGGAGAGCAACAGGGCTGGCCAAACTCCCCGGCCCCACTGAACTAGGAGCTCATTACTCACTTAACTGCATGGTGTGCAGGAAACCCTGGAGCCCAGCCCAACACCCTCAATCACTACGGCCACGGCAGCCTGCTCTGCCCTGGGCCTCTGCGAGAGGACACAAGCAGGGAGGCGTGCAGACCTCCGCAGATGGCCACCACGCCAGTCCCTCACCCTGGCCAGCCAGTCTCCAGGGCCTCCTGTCCATCCACAAACCCAGAGTGCGGCACTGAGGACCGTGCTGCCCCCTGCAGGTGGGACCAGGCCCACAGTGTACTTCTGCTGGGCCTGCACCCTGAGTTCCTGCAGGCCAGGGAAGTGCACTCAGGTTAGTCAGCCTGCTTCCCAGGACCGGGGAGGGACAGACAGACGGGGTGGGGGCTAGCACCACCTCCCACTGCGCCCTGGCCAGTTCCCCATTGGCACAATGGGAGGGCAGAAGGGTGTAGGGGACTGACCTTGAGATTGTTGGGGTGCTTGTGTGTCCACGCGAGCAGCATGGCGGCAAAGAGGTCCCCAGTGCCCACGAAGACAGCATCCACCTTTCGCATCTCCATGCGGATGCGCTGAGTCACTGTGGAGCCATCGGGCCTCCCTGGAGGGGATGGAAGAAGCCAGTTAGCGGGCTCTGAGCAGCCCAGGCCTTTGCCTTGCTTGGTGATGAGGGTCACAGAGCTTGGGTGCCTTTGCCAGGAGTCAGGGCTCAGAGCATTCACGGTGTCCCTGCTACCTGTCCCAAGGGAGATGCTGAGGAACTGGAACCTTGGAGCCACCAGAATGGCCTTGGAGACACAGGACAGCTTGCCAAGGGCTGCAGTACTGAGTGTGCACACACTTGCACTTTCATACGTGTGTGTGTGTGTGTGTGTGTGTGCCAGGAGCCAAGCGTGTGACCTAGCTTCTGCATCACTATGACACCATCCAGAGGATGAGGCAGGGGACCTGAGTGACCAGCCACCTGGCTCAGAGCAGAAACAGCCCCAGAGGGGTTGGGCCGAGGTCACCCTGCAGCTCAGTGGCTCCTGGGGCTGCAGCTCGGCCTCCCTGGTATCTGGCACACAGAGACTGTCCTGCACCTGCCTCGGCCTGAGCATTCTCAGAACCATCAGGGGCTCTGGGAATTAACCACTCGCTGAGTGAGACACCACCTTCCTCTACTGAGCGGAAAACTCCTTTCATTACAGGGGATTAAACACAGGACCTTTGCACTTTGCTACACCCCTGGTCCTTTTCAAAACTTTTTATTTGGAGACAGGGTCTCCCTACACTGTTAAGCTGTTGAGGCTGGAACTTGTGCTCCTCCTGCCTCAGCCTCCCAGAGTTCTGGGATCACAGTGGACTGACACCTCAAGGTAGGCTGGAGGAGGGCAGGCGGGGGCACTCACGCGTCCTCTGGCTGCCCAGAGCGATCAGGTAGTCACTGCCCTTAGGGGAGGGCAGGTCGGAGCTGGTGATGACCACGGTGTCAGGGCCCATGGAGTGCAGCACGTCCATCACCTGCAGGTAGAGGTGGCCCAGGATGATGGCTGATGACAAGTCCAGACTGACGGAGAGCCCAGGTGGCCACCACCCTCACTGCACTTGGTGCCAAGGATCAGAGAGCCAAGGCTGGGGTCTGGCCTGCTGCTGGAGGGCTGATAATCGAAAGGGAGACAGTGCCCAGGGCTCTGGGCCACAGCAGTGGGCCTTTGCACACCAAACGTTGAGCAAGGAGCCAGATAGCCAGTCCTGACCCCAGCAGCTTGAAACCGGCCTGCTTCCACTGGCCAGGGTCTCTGCACTGGTGCCTCCCCCAGCCCCTCTTAGTTTTTCCTTTTGAGACAAGGTCAGCTAAATTGCCTAGGTTGCTGATTTTTAATAGGCAACCCTCCTGCCTCAGCCCCCAGGGTGCTGTGTGACATGTATGCGCCCCCAGGCTGGGCTCTGGGCTGGCTTTTCTGGCATCATGGAAGCTCCCGTCCTCAGCACAGCTGCCTCTGGGTGTCATACACGGCACTTGGTATGCATTGGCATTGCACAGGCCTGCTCACCCCTGGTCCCCTCATACAACACTACACAGGCCCCAGCACCCCACCCCTGGCACCATGCCAGCCCAGAGCTTTCCCTGGGGCTTCAAGGACAGTCACACAGGGAGAGGTGGCCCCATGAGTGACAAAGGCCCAGGAGCCACAGCACCAGCAGCTGGGGCAGGAAGGACTTGAGCCCCTCGCCCCCCCCAGCCCATTCTGGGGCTGGGGTCCTTACCGCCAGCGCCTCCTCCTGGCTATGGATCTTCCTGCCGCTCAGCAACCTGGAACGCAGGGGAGCAGGTCAAGCTCAACCTGGGCTGCCTTGGTGCCGCTGCCTCAGGAGCGGAGGCCACTGTGCTGAGTGTGGGGCTCAGAGCAGAGTGTGGCTTTCACCCACTCACAGCACCAGTGAGGGTTGCAGTGCAGAGGGAATTCACATGGCCCACACATTCCTGGGGGCCCTGCAGCTCGGGATCCTCCAGGTGAGATGCCACCCCCACTATGGGCGGGGCAAACCCTGCTGCTGGAGCCTAGGAAGCCTTACCTGCAGCTGAACCAAGGGTTGGGGGACCCGGCTCATGGCCCAAGGGCACAGGGTGGCCTTGCCCCTGCTAGCCCTGGCTAACAGGCAGTTCCTGCTTAGTGTCTGGTTTTCAGTAAGTCAGGGACCCCCCAAAAGGCAGGGTGCCCTGCTCCTCTGGATTCCCAGGGAGACCTGGGTGTCCTGCCTGCCTGTAACCCAAAGCAGTGGATTGTGGAGGAAGACACTTCAGGACGGCAGAGCCCAGAGGGAGCTGGGCCACCCCGACAACCCACGTGACCTGACCCCCGACCACCGACCCCTGAGAGCCAGGGCACAGCTGTGGTGTCCTCAAGGGGCTCCCTGTACTTACTCAGCCTCGAACTGGTTGGGGGTTATGATGTCCGACACTGGCACCACCTTCTCTCGGTACACAGGAAGGAGGTTCTCCGGGACGTACTGTGCATGGGACAGGGCGGTCATCACACCAGAAGGAGAGGACAGCAGGATGTGCACCCAGAGCCCCCCTGCCAGCCTGGCCACAAGACCCCAGCACAGCAGTGGGGACATACAGTCCCGAGGGCAGGGCTGGGGCCCTGGGGGGAGGTGGCCGGTGTGGGGTGGGAATGCAGGGGTGGGATGTGGGCCTTGGCCCCCAGGGAGTTCTTGGGTGCCTCCCCCATTGAGCTTCTCTGTGCTGTGAGCAACATGCCAGTTTCCTTTAGCTACCACTTCTTTAAAAAAGACCCCACGCCCCAGCCTCGCATGATCTGACAGGATTGTGCCTGCTCTGTGGGCACTGGCAGAAGGGTGTTCCCAGTCCTTCTAGGGCTCCTAGACCTGCATGGTACAGGTTTTCTACTGACCTGAACCTAAGCCTGTGTCTACCTGGACTTTGGCTCAGGAGGGAAATGCAGCCGGAAATGCAGCCGGAAATGCAGCCTGACCCACCCAGGAGAGTCCGGTCCACAGGAAGTGGGGAGCAGGCTGCTGCATGGGGCCCTGGGACACCTGCCTCTCCTGGCCTTAACACTGACCACAAGGGGCTGGAAATTTAGCCCAGAGGCATAAGCGCCTGCCTTGCAAGCAGGCAGTCGTGAGTTCAATCCCCGGTACTGATAAAAAGGAAAAAGACAACAAAACAAAACAAAACAAAACCAAACCACTGACCACAGACACTGGCCAGGTGTGCCCAGTGCCAGCATAGGCCACACCTGGCCAGCGAGCTTGTGAACCCACAGTGATGATGGACAGGCCCATGTGACGCGTCCTGGGCCCACAGGTGCCCACCTGACCACAGGACAGGTGTGGGGCCACCACCTGAGGCCTGTCTCTCTGCAGTTTGTGAGTGCAGAGGGATTTCCACACTTTTCACCGATTGTGGGGAAACACGAGTGGCAGGAAATTCAAATCTGGGCTGGCTGTTACCTTCCAGGAGACAACCATGCTTGGAGAAGCTCCTGGGATACATGACAGGGGCCCAGTGCAGTGGCACAGGGTCCCTGCCATGTGCCAGGTCACAGCCCCCTCCCGGGAGCTCAGGGTCCCTGTCACGCGCCAGGTCACAGCCCCCTACCAGGAGCTAGTGGCTCCCACCCAGGGCTGCCCATCACTCACCATGCGGCCTTCACCGTCCCACTTGTCACCCATCACTGGATCACACACTGCGGAGACAGTGCCGTCCATCAGCCACACATCAGTAACACAGAGCAGCCCCGAACAGCCCGAGGGCAGGGCCAGAACTGGGCTTCAGACGCCCCAGCCATGGGGCAAGGGTGGCTCTGGGCAAACAAGTGGGCACGGCTCCTCAACCCCCAGGGCCCCTGCCGCACAGCTCCGCACCCACCATACACCAGCCGAGAGTTCTGCTGCTTCAGCTCCCGCACGATGTCCACCACCATGGACAGGAAGGACGCGTCCCTCGTGTAGCCTGTGGCGGAACTAGCATGGTCTGAGATGGGCACCCAGCAGCATTGGCACTGCCCAGCCCACTCTCTGTGGGGCAGTGGGAGGACCTGAGACTGGGCCTGGGCCAGCATGGGGTCTCCCGCAGTCCCAAGTCACCAAGGTACACCACATACTTCCCAAAACAAGCAAGAAGGCTTTTGCGTTTTGGCAGGCACTTTTAACCAAGCATAAAGACACCATTTTCAGCTGGGAACTGGACATGCAAAACTCGGGGGCAGCACTTCAGACTTTCCTGCAGGCAGCGTCCCAACACCTGCCCCTCCCTACCACATGACAGGTCTGTGGGGGGGAAGTGAGGGCCTGGCCCAGCCTGGGGGCCTCACCCGTGAGCACGTAGTCATACTTGTTCACAGCGTTGAGCTTCAGGCCCTGGTACAGCTCCTGGAGCTCACTGGAGTTCAGCACCTGGCCGCTCCAGTGAGCGTAGCCTACAAGGAGTGAACCACAGGCCGGGAGGCCATGTCAGGGCCCGGACAGGGCAGTGGGCTCCTCCTGTGTCCTTAATCAGCACTTTAGGGCAACAGCCAGCTGCTTCCAGTGCTTTAGCAACAGGGAGGTAGAGCCACCAAGTCCTTCTACGATGACACCCAGGACACGGCCCCCTGATATGGCCGCCACAGCCCAAGGTGCAAAGACACACAGGGCAGCACAGGGGCCATGTCAGCCAGTCCACCAGCTCCGGGGCTCCCAGGGCAGACATGCCCAGGCAGGGCCCAGGAGAACACAGCTGCAGAGCCACCTCTAGTCCGGGCCCTGCTGCCCCACCCTGGGCCAAGGCCACCTCAGGGCCCCTTGGCGGCAGGAGGAGGCTGGAGGTGGCAGGAGCATCCCATGGGGCCTCAAAAGAGTAACAGCGTCTGGGAGACGGCCACCTCCAGCTGCGCCTCACCTGTGTGGTTGGAAAACTGGACAGAGTTCACCGCATCGATCTCAAACCCCAGGACCTGGAAGACACAGCAAGGGTGGCATGAGAGGCTGGCAGGGGTTCTGCATCCTTTTGGGTGCCTGATGACTGCCTGCCACTGCCAGTTTGCAGGAACGTTACCAGTCTGCAGGAACGGAGGACCCAGGCCAGCCTGTGTGGAAGTCACCGGTATGGGGATGGGAGACACCAGCACTCCTGGGCCACAGGGCCTGTGAAGAGTTTCTTCCTCTCTTCCCACACTTAGGAAATGCCGGGTGTGGGTGGCCAGGAGCAGGGGTACCCGCCCAGTGCAGCAGCGCTTAGGAGCCACCTGAGGAGAGCTCTGCCCCAGTTAGACAGCACAGGGAGCCCCCGGGAAGTAAGTACCCTGGGTGCCGCTGAGGCCACTCCCCAAGCTCTTTCTGCCCTCCTGTCTGCAGGGAGGTGCGGAAGGCCCTGCAGGGCCCGGACCCCCTCCCCACACTCACTGCCACCAGGCCACTCCCGGAAAGGGTCACACAGGGACTCCAGGCCTAGAGGTGTAGGCAGTAGACACAGGACTTAGCGCAGGCCTCTGCCACCCCACCACGTGGTCCCCCAGCAGCAGAATGTACTGTGTCACTGCAGGCAGCCATTCCGGAGAACATCCAGCCAGCTCCCAGGTATGGCAGGGGAAGACCCAAGGTTCCCTCCCCAACAGGGAGGAGGCTCAGCAGGTGGGGGGAGCAGCATACTCTCAGGTGGACCCACCAGAGCCCAGGGTGATGCAGGGCCTGCCACCAGCGTGACCTTACTTGGCCCCCAGAGCCGGGGTTCTGACCGTACCTGGTTCTGATGATAGGGTTAGACCAGCTGGCCTCCTGCACAGTCACATGGGCCATACCACTGTGGGGGCTTCCAGTCTCATTCCCGGGAACCAAGAGCCTAGGGTCTGGCCAGGCCACAAGGTCCAGCCACCTTCCCTGCCTGCCTGGCCCATGTCCCCCTGAGCCTCAATCCTCTCCTGGTACAACTCCCTTCCTCAAAGCTCACGCGAGATGAACCGTCTCCAGCCCTCCCCAGTGAGACAGACTCCCAGGCAGGTCTTGGAGCCGCCCACAGCCGTTGTGTCCCACACTGCAGGTGCTACCAAGGGGCTGTGGTGGGGCAGCCAGGACCCAGACCTTGGGAAGAGCTGGCCCAGCAGCCCAGCAGCCTGTCCCTCCCTGCAGGTCCAGATGAGCCAGGACCCAGGCAGGTGGGGCAAAGGCCAGGTGCGTGGACATGCTCGGTACCTAAGTGTCACCTTTTCTGGGTAAACATGGCACAGGGCTGGGGCCTCCCCTCATTGGGACAGGTGGGACGGGTGGGGAGATGAGCCAGTGGGCAGATGGACGGATGGACAGGTGGATGAAGGAAGGGCTGGGAGCCCGGGGATGGTCTATACCTTGCTTCTCCAAGTGAGCCACCCACTGACCATACGCCTGGGGCTGGAGCTCACTGAGGGTGGACTAAACTGGCTAAGCCAGCCGGGATGGAGCTCAGCAGCACAGTACCTGCCTGGCAAGCTCTAGGTCCTGAGTTTGATTCCCAGTACAAAAAAAAAAAAAAAAAAAAAAAAAAAAAAGAAGAATGTCAAACATTATTTCTTTAAAAAGTAAAACATAAAATGTCTAAGCCAGCATTATTGTTGAACCCACCTGGGATCCTCTGCCTCGGGAGCTATTCCTGGTCTCCAGCCCCCACTCTGTCCCCATCTTCCATTCCTGTTCTACAATAAATCTGCCTCCTCTTAAAAGTAAGTAAAGCAATGCCACAGGAGTTAGTAGTCCCATTCCCCTCGTTTCCCCATGTGTTAAAGCACTCTGCCAGCACCTGCCCGACTCTGTGGGCGGCTCCGGACCAGCTGCCGGGCTGCAGCTCTTATACCTCTTAAGTGACTTTGGTGGCTGAGGCTGGCACCACGGAGAGCCCATGCCTGGACACCCTGCCAGGAGCTTCTGCCTGCCGCCTCCAGGTGCGATGATTAATCCTGAGCCATGAGCTGCTACTGTCCGCTTTCAGCGGATAGCGGAGCCCTGGGCAGGCGTCTCCCTTCCAAGTACCGCTATTAAATCACTTCCAGCATTCCCAGGGCCTTGGTTCATCGGACCTGAACCTGCAGCCATGCTCAGGAGGTCTGGACCCAGATCCCTTGCTAATCTCAAACCTACCCTGCCAGAAACTGTGCATCACTGCCCAGCAGGGGTGTCTCTGGGACAGGGAGGGAGAAGCACTGCTCCTTCTCCTCCCCAGACAGCCATGTCCCTGCCTCATGGGTCCCTGTCACCTGCACAGCCAGTATGTGGAACAGACCTGAGTCCTGAAACTGTGATGTCCTCTGTGTCACCCTGCATGAGAACAGTCATGCATGAGGAGGCCAACGGGATTGCCTCAGGCCACTTCCGCCCATGTACTGCCCTGGGGGCAGCGACCCAGTTTCGCAGGAAACCCCAGACTTGGGGACTTCGAAGAGGCCACCACGTAGCCCCTCTGTGGGTAAAACCATGACCCCTTCCCAGGATATCACACCGCGCCTGGGGACAGAGGGGATCCACACGCTCTGACGAGGCTAGAGCCTCAGTGGTCAGCAGTGTGCTGAGCACCCCAGGCCTTGCGCAGCCGTGGCCCCAGGAAACTCCTGGTTCTCCTCACACCCAAAGTCAACGTGAAGACTCCCCAACTCGGGCGAAGGGCTCGTCACCTGGCCTTGCAGATGCTGTGTCCCTCAGGCTCCACCCACCTCCACTTCAGCCCACACTAGCCTCAAACATCCACCAGAAGACAGCAGAAGTTACAAACAGCACACACCCTGCAGGACAAGGGGTGGTCAGCCTGGGATCTCAGCAATGGAGGCTGAGGCAGGAGGATCACACGCTCAAGCCAGTCTAGATTAATAGAAACTCAGAGGGAGGGAGAAGGAGTGAAAGAGACACAGAAATAGACACACAGACACACAGAGACAAGGAGAAGATGCCCGGCAGAAGACCAAGACAGCCTAAAGTCGCCTCTACTCTCTTGCGGGAGCTTCGAGCCCTGGCCCAGGCCGGCCAGCAGAGCCTTACACCTATACCTGTGATGCTCCCAGCCTGCCCAGCACCCCATGTGTGTGCTGCACCCAACCCACGGAACACCCCTTTTATCCTGCCTTTGGGGGTTCACTGTAGGTCCCAAGGTGAAGCCCAGACCCTGGCCGTGTCCCAGAGTCAGAGCAGGACACCCCGCAGCCTCAGCCCCACTGGTCAGTGGGTCCACACCGCTGGTGGGTGACTGTGAACCCTGGAAAGCTCTGAATCAGCTGAGCATGGGTGAGGGTGCACATCTGTCACCCTGGGACTCTGGGAGGCTGAAGCAGGAGGCAGACAGGTTCCCAACCAGCCTGAGCAACTTGGCGATTGAGACCAGACTTGAAATAACAGAAAAGAGCTGAGGATGAAGCTGAGGGCTGGATGAAGCTGAGGATGAAGCTGAGGGCTACTAAGAGCAAATCCCTGGTACCTGGCCACCTTCCTCCACTCCCCTAGCAAACAGCTGCGAAGCCAACACCGTGGCCTCACTTCACGGTGGCAGTTTTTCCCATGGTCAATCATGGTACAAAAATACCAGGAGGAGTCTCAGGAGGGACGCTGAGGGAGACAGGGGACCCTGTGGACCACTGTCACACAGCCTTCAGCACCGGCGCCCTCCTGGGACTTCCCACTGCTCTGTAGCTCCTGGAAAACAGTACACTCAGGGGCCGGATGCTCCCGGTCCCTCCCTGGGGCCCCATGGAGACCCTGCCTCCAGCCTGGGCAGCACAAGCCAACCCCACGTGGGCACTCAGGGCCTGCACCCCCACACCATGGATGTGAGACAGACATGGTACCCACCTGGTACCCCACCGCAGTCCACACTGTTCCCTGCATCTCGCCTGACAAGCCCGAGGCACACAGCTCCCATGGGCCTGGAGCAGTGGTCTCAGCAGCACACTGAGGGCTCAGAGGCGCTAGGCCCTAGGCTCCGGTCCACCCGCTGACAGAGGACACTGCTGACAGAGCAGGGCCTTGGTGGCAGCAGCAAGACCCCAGCACAGTGCACATGGCTCTGGAAGGGGCGTCCTCCCCTCCCGCCCCAGATTCAGTACAGCCCCCCACGGCTTGCCCTCTTTACAACCAGCACCGAAATTCAGCCAAGCTGTCTTTCAGTGACTTCTGCCAGGAATGCTCTCACACTGGCACACAGACTGGACCCACAGCCCATGCGCCAGCCATACCCCCAGCCCTTTCTAATTCTGAGACAGGGTCTCACCAAGTTGCCCAGGCTGAAATGGAACCTATGACCCTCCTGCCTCAGCCTCCTAAGTCGAGGACCCCAAGTGTGCACCATCATGTCCAGCTTCCAAGGTAAACATCTCAGAAACAGCCCATGTCCCCTGAACCAATCTCCCTCTCCCCGGCTCACCCCATGACCCAGGTCACCTAATCCCCTGTGTGTACCTGGCCTCCACCATCACAGCCCTGGCCCCACAGGTAGGTTCTGGGGCCCACTGCCAGGACTGTGATGCCAGGTAGGCTCTGCCCAGGGCCAGCACTTCGTTGTAAATCTGCAGGGCCACACTGCAGTTCCCAGAGAAGGAGCCACAGGCTCCCAGAAGCACCCCAGGTGGAGAAGCGCTCTTGGGGCCCCCACAGAAATCCACAGCACTGTCCTGCCCACATCCACGCTGCCTGCCACTCACAGCTGGCTCGAGACCTGAGCAGCCAGCACAGTCTGGTCCCATGGCTTCTGTGTAGGTTTCATGCCCACTGTGTGACCAGGTCAGCAGGAGGGAGGTCTACGAGGTGCAAATACCCAGCAGGGGCCCTCCCCCAAGTAGAGATCAGCCCTGCAGGTGCTTATGTCCCCTTCACAATGGCCCTGGATGCCCTGCTGGTGTCCCCTGCAGGGCAAGAGTCAGCACAGGTGAGGAACCCAGGCTGCCAGGCCAGGGCTCTCAGTACATGTGATGCCCATCTGTCCTGCAGTGAACACATTCAGGCCACCCAGATAATCCTGAGGTTTCCTCTTAAGATCCTGAACCTTTCTTTGTCTACAAAGGTCTCTGCTCCAGGCAGACTCCCTGGTGGGGTCCAGCATGAGTCCCAAGAACGCTTGAAAAAGATCTAAAAGAGCCTGGCTGGGGCTTAGTAGAAGGCTCAGGAGTTGGTGACAGGAAGCCATCCTTTGAGGAAGGGAAGGCTGTGGTCCCCAAGCTGTCCGTATAATGGTGCTGAGTCCAGTGACAAGTGTCCCTGGAAGGAGAGGGGACACTGGGGAATGACCAAGGGACAGATGGAGCGCAAGGCATCTACAAGCCAGGGGAGGAACAGGGCTGGCCACACTGACCTCAGATCTCAATTCCTGGGGCAAGTTACCCAGTCAGTGGCATGCTGGCCCCTGAAAACTCAAATGTGACCTGAAGTTCCCGGGCAGTACTGTCAGGAGGCTACACAGACACACACGGGCCCTGGTCAAATCTGAGGTTTCCTTCTGCCAGAGAAAAGGGACTGGGGGTGTCACAAAACTGGCCAGGGCTCCATTGTGGCACCACAAATGGAAACAGTCTTGGGATGTCTGCTGGGGGGTGGTAGGCAGGAGGGCACCCCAACTTCAGTCATTCCTCTACCCCATAGTCTCGGGCCAGAGTGACAGAAGCCTCCCCAGACAGGGTCAAGAGGGCTGGGGCAGAGGCAGGAGCTCTGCAGACTGTGGGTCACTCTGCCCTGGCGCCAACACTGCTCACGTGAGCACATTGTCTCTGGCCACAGAACTTCGCCTTGGACTCTGGCCCAGAAACAAAAAGTCCAGAAACAGGGTCAAGATTCTGTCCAGAGCAGGTGGCTGCCTTTGGGCTGGGAGCAGAGGGATTTCAGGCTGCCAGGCTATGCCAGCACTGGTGTTGGTGTGAGCTCCTGCCTATGGCACTTACTGTGTCCATCACAAAGGGCTCGGGGAGCCCTCATGCCCCCACAACTGTGCCTGGTCTGCAGGGGAGGCTCAGAGTCCAGGCCCTGGGACAAAACTGCTGATCCCTGGCTGGGTCTTTGCCAGGGCCCCAGTCATCTCCCCCCCCTTTCCCTTTTCCCAAGTTTTTCTTCTCTGTATTCAACCATGTGCTCAGCAGAGTTGTGTGACACTGACCAAAACCATGAGCAGATCCACTCTGCTGAGGTGCTGCCCCGTGGGTTCACTGCCCCACACACAAGGAATTCCAGGCTCCTCCCATGCCCTGCCTCTGCTGTGTGTTCTGGGTGGCTAAAGCGCCGCCGCCACTGCCCATCTCACTGCTCCCCTGCCCAGGGCACTGGGAGGGGACACTGTGGAGCTCACAGGTGAGGATGCTGAGGGCCCAGATAAGAACAGGGGGTTAGGGTGGTCCTCGGGAGGCTCCCCCAGGTGGCTGGAGGAGGAACTCCTTTTGGGTGTGGGGGCAGAGAGCTCAGACTGGGGACTGGAGAGCAGGGTCCTGCTGAGCGACCCTGGGGAGCAGAGGAAGGAGGAGGTTGGCAGGTGAAGTGCGGGCGAATGAGAGCAGACAGAGGGAAAAGGGGACAGAAGGACCCCTCATCCCCACCCACCCCACCCTCGCCAGGAGGGCGGGGCGGCTCAGGGCCTCTTTACCTCACAGCCACCTCAGTGAGCCTGCCCATCGCCCGACCTGCCCTGACCTCCTGTCTCGGGGAGCTGACGCTGGGGCCGGCGCGCCCTGAGTGTTCCAGAGGTCGCCTTGGTTGGCCGCAGACAGCGTGGGCGAGGCTCAGCACAGCTCCCCGTGGGGCCCCACACCCAGCCACGCGTCCCTTTGGACTCGAACCCTGCAGCTCTCCACCCCCACTCCGCTGCCACTCGACTCCACTTTCCGTCTGCAGGCCCAGGATGACCCCGCAGCTGACGGAGCCGGGCCCAGGACGCTGCGTGTCTGCCCCCTGCCCGGCGCCTGGGCCTCTCCACCCTCCAAGCCAGCAGCCACGCCCGCAGGCCCCGGAGCCCGGCCGGCCCCCAACGCCGCCCATACACGCGTGGGTCTGGCCTCGGGCACCGGCCTCGGACGCTGCCCCCGCGTGTCGCTGCTGTCACCCGCCCGGCCGGCGGCGCGCGGAGCCCGCAAGGACACGGCTCGCGCGGCGCTTACGCAACGCAGCTACCTGCAGCGGGAACGTGGCGGCCCGGTTGCCCACGTAGCCGCGGACGACGTGGCTCTGGATGGACAGCACGCGACAGTCCCCCTCCATGCCGGGCAGCGGCGGCGGCGGCAGCGACACCGCTTGGCTGGGCTACGCTCGGCTGCAGCGCAGGCGCTCGGTACGCGGCCGCCGCCTCTGACCTCAGCGCGCGCCGCGGGAGGGGCGGGGCCTAATACAGGCCCGCCCCCGGGGAAACCTCAGCCAACCAGCGCGGCGATCGTCGGGAGGAGCGGCCCTGGGTTCGCCCCTTCCACCTATGGCAGGAGGCGATCCCAAAGCCTGGGTGTCCTCTGCTGTGATTAGCGCCGCCGGATCCGCGGGCTCAGAAAGACGTCAGTCGCAGAGGTGGGTGACCCACCCTCCGGACCTACGTTCTCCTCCCTGCCTAGGAATGCGTTTTTCCCAAGACTAGAAATTATAGATAAACTAGGTATGGTGCTCAGCCCCTGGGAGGCTGAGGCAGGAGGATTGTACCAAATTCAAAATCAGCCTGGGCTACATAGTAAGAGCCTGTCCCTCAAAACCAAAAACAAACAAAAAGGGGTTGTAGTGGTGACTCACATCTGTAATCCCAGCATTTGGGAGGCTGAGGGAGGATTGTTGCTAGTCTGAGCCTAACCTGGGCTACAAAGAGAGCTCAAAGCCACCCTGAAGTGCAGTGGGACCCTGAAAGGGGGGGGGGGGTTTAATGGTGCTCACCCTGTCCTTTGCTGTTACCTTGTGGTTTTGCTATATAAAACCCTCTTGGCAAAAGGCCTTGGTGGCTGCCCACCTGGGACCCCTCCTGGACACCCAGGAGCTGTTCTTCCTATTTCCAGTCAAACTGCTACCTCCTTTGGTTCATGACTTTATGCTTTGGCAGCAGCAGGGCCAAGCGGTGCTGGGAGGTGGGGACGTGGTCCCTAGCAGGTGTTCCATTGCTGCCCAGCTGCAGTGGGCACCCAGGCGCCTGCCATGTGCACAGCGTGTGTCCCAGCATTTGCTATCATGCGCCTTAGGTGAGCAGGGTCCGTACCTGTCCACACATGGGACACAGGAAGCCAGCCTGTGGCAACGGATTTGATGATGGTTGCTGACTGTGAGCCTCAGGAATGCAGTGGAGGTTCTCTCGGTCCTATAATGGCCTCCCTTGCGTGTGGTTACATCTGCTGAGGCCACATGCGCACAGCTCCAATGTGGTTTGGGGCATCAGGGGCACAGTCTGACCCCTAAAAGCCAGGGTATGCACAGGCAATCTGAAGAGGTGACCTTAGCTGAGGGGGGGATCAGTGACCCCTGCCCATAGCCATGCTCAGGGATCCAGCGACTGCACTCTCTGCTGCTGGTTTGCCCCTCCCAACGCCATGTGGGACCAGGGCTCCAACGCACGAATATAGGCTGACCATAGACACTCAGTGGGTGACGGGGGCGCCTCTATCCTGCCAACCTGGCAGAGCCAGGGTCTAAACCCTTTAGCCCTTGACACAGAACCTTGTGTGGGTCTGGGTTTCCCCTTCAAGGGGTGCCATGATGCCCTGCATTGGGGCTGTGAGCATGTGGCCTCAGCAGACAAGGGAGGAGGAATCCTCAGCAGAGGATTTGGGGGAAGTACCCCAACTCCCGACCTGCTAGGTGTCGGACATGCTGTTTGTGTTTCCCAGAATCAAAGAATGACTTCTAAGGAACCACTTTAGGAGGCTAAAAGTAGGAAATATTTATGGAGGGAATGATATCTTCTACCTAAGAGAGACAGATGGAGACTTGAAAGTGGGTTGTCCACAAGCTCACTTCTTACAGGAAGATTTTTAGAACAAAATCACGAGGTGGGTGGGAAATGATTAAGTGGGGTACAGGGTGGGAGAAAACTATAACCAACCAATAAGATTACAAGGCTAACCCTGAGGTGCTGTTGTTCTGATGGGAAGCAAGTCCCATGGTAAGCGTGCATGAAAGAAGGGCTTTTCCTGGGAGGGGTGGGCCAAAGTCCTGGACCCCCACCAGTGACTGGTGGGTCTTCAGAATGTTGTTATCCCTCAAGGAGGTATAGGGTGTGGTCACTTCATCTTGTCTTGTGGCTGCCTAAGAGCAGGCCATGTGGTCTTGACAGCCCAGCCCCTCTATAGTAATTAGGCTGCTTATCCAGTGTGACCCCTGTCCCTAGAAAGGGGAAGAGAGGGAGGACATGGGGAGAATAATGAAAGGTTCTTGTCCTAAAATAAATTCCTGTACGGTTATGGCGGTGGTCTAACGTGGCAGAAGGCCAAAGCGGGAACACCTACCACTTCCTGCTTCTTCTTCAGCCCTAACTGCAACTCCCCTTCCTGTTTGCATGCACAGAGAAGCGGTGCCTCACATGTCCTCAATGCCCGCCCCATTGTCAACCTCAATGGGAGGTCATATAACCCTCCGCTTCTCTGTATCACAGAGGAGACAGCCCAGCTGCCATGGGTTGTGTGCACCTTTCCACGTCCTCAACTCAATAAACCTGTTTGTTTGGTACTTTTTGTTTCTCTATTGTGCCAGAATGCTCTAACAGAAAGGACATCCATCAGCCAAGGGCGGAGGCAGTCAGGTGTCCTCACCTTGAAGGGCCCGCCGGCTGACCCTGAGGCACTTGTACTGCAAGCGTGTCCTGCTTATCCCCACTGCTCCAAGGCTCCTGTTACTGGCCACCAGGAACTGGTGACCTCAGAGAGCAAATCAGCTGTGCTCAGTTAGGTTTTCAAAGGCTTTTCTGGCTCTGCAGACTGTGGGCCTGGACTTCAGACCCCGGAAAAGTAGTGACCGTCCCCAGGTTTCTCCCCACCTCGCGCTCTGGCCCCAGCCCTGTCGTGGTCCTCACAGAGCCCCACACCCAAGCCCTGGGCCTGCGTGGGCCTACGTAGGGCAGCTGAAGGACTCTGACTGCCCCCACCCTCACTGACCAGAGCCCACTTGCAGTTTCTTGGCCCCTGAGCTTCACCCTGCTAATGACTTGTGACCACAGGTTAACAAAGCCCCGTGACCATGGCCTCACCCGGGACTCCTTTCTCCTCTGCACCACTACACGGGCTCAGTCCTGTCCCTGGCGCAGCTGGGACTCCTTCCACTGGTCCCTGCTCTCCCCCCGCAGGGCCCACTGGGACCTTCTCCTTCATGGTGCCCCTTTACCGTCCTGGCCCTGTGAGGGGCCTCACTGGTCTGCTCCTCATGGCCGTGTCTCCCTCTCTGACTATGGCTGTCCTGCTGCACCCGCACCTCTGCTTTTCCTCCTAACTGTGGTGCCCCAGCTTCCAGAGGAGCCCAAGGCTCCTGGGGCTCTAAAGGGCCCTGCTGTGGAAGTCACCTCCTCTGTGCTGTTTTGTTACGTGTGGGCCGAGACAAGTGCTTGAACACATGGGCCTTAGAGATTGCTGCTTCTCTGTGTGCGCAGTCTTGGGCGTTGAAACCAGGGTCTTCACAATGAGCTCCATCTCCAGGTGCTTTTTATTTTTATTTTTGAGACAAGGTCTCCCTAAGTCACTGAGTTTGCCAGGCTTGAACTTGTGATCCTCCTGCCTCAGCCTCCTGAGAGTGTTAATTGTTTTTTGTACCGGTGATCGAACTCACGACCATGCACTTGAAAGGCAGGTGCCTATGCCGCTGAGCTAAATCCCAGCCCTAGAGTGTTAATTCTATACACACTGAGCTCGTAGGCTCACGACATCAAAGAATGAAATTTCAGCCCAAAAGAGGAAGTTAGGAGAGTGTTCACTGGGAAAGGGAGAAGAAAAAAAAGCTCTTGAGCCTCCGCAACACCCAGCTTCTGGGGCTACAGTGGAGTATGGGGATCACTAAGTCATTCAGTGGCTGCCTGCCCCACAGGCTCTGTGTACTTAAAGTGACTGACTGGAGCTCAAGCTTCCAACCCAGGTACTTAGCACTCAGGTTTTAGCAGGTAGGGTTTAAAGGAATTTGAGATTGTGAGGAAAAGCTGGTTATCTTATATTTTAAATTCCAGGAAACTCAGGAGTTTAGTAGGGAGGGGCTGCATTCCATGGTCCCCAGCAACTTCAGAGGAACTTCAAGCTGTGCCCTGGCTCACAGCCTGTTCTTATTTTAATTCTCTTTGTTTTCTTGAGACAGGATCTCACTATGTATTCCAGGCTGACCTCAAACTCACACAGCTCCCCATGCCTCAGCCTCCTGAATGCTGGGAGGACAGGTGAGCCCCGCCAGGTCCAGCTGAGTTACTTATTAGCCTGGAATCACCCTTTTTGTCATATTTTTGCAAGGAGAGGAAGGAGATTGGGAATTGAACTCAGAGATATTCTATCTCTGAGCTACACCTCCAGCACCTCCTTTTTTTTTGTGATATGGGGATTGAACCTGTTGGGGCACAATTACAGTGTAAGAGCATATTTGTAAAGTGGCAAACTTACAGGTATTTTCCTGATACAAATTAGAGAGCAATTAGAAGTCTCTAACCAAGTTCCTTCGCTTCTGCTGAATTCAGTTGACCTTGACAGTCTAAAGCCCAGCTGCAGACCTCTGATGAGCAGAGTCTGAGTAATGGTCTACACTGTAAGGCACCCTGGGTGAGTCAAGGGCACCTTTAACCATGCTCACCCTGTAAGGCCCCCTTCCCTTCCCTTGTTCCTGGAATATTTCTATATTATGATGACCAATTTCCTTGTCTAAACAAATCTGTTTAAGACTAACCTGTCTGTCACATATGACTCAATGCAAGCAACCAATTATGTAATTTTTTGTTGCTTACTTTGCACTTCCCACTGCTAAATGCTGTGCAGACTAAACTCCTTGTGAACTCAGGGCTGCTGCCTTTGGGACTGGCCCTGCAGCAGTCCGCCACTGTGGACAGTAGGCAACATAAAGATTGAACCCTGCCTTCTTGGCTCCTCGGTGCAAAGAGTCTTTCTTTCAGTTTGACTTGGTAATTTTCCCACAACAAACTCAGGGTCTTTGCCCTGAGCTACATCCTCAGCCCTTTTTATTTAATTATTGTTATTATTTTTTAAAATTGGTGCCGGGGATTGAACTCACGACCACCTGCTTGCAAGGCAGGTGCTTATGCCGCTGAGCTAAATCCCCAATTTCTGGCTAAACTGCCCAAGCTGGGCTCAAATTGAAGATCCTCCTGCCTCAGCCTCCTAGAATGCTGGGGTTACAGGCCTGCACTACCATACCTGGC